AATGCAGAAGGGGACAAGGATCCTAGCTGATATTCAAAGGAGAAGTCACGTGATCTCCTACCATCTGTCGACCATAAATGGTATACGGAATGGTATACGCTACCATATCTCCTACCACAGAGGGTATACAGAATGGTATATTGCGACCACGGTCCTACCACAGATGGTATACGAAATGGTAGGAAGCGAAGGATATATAAGGACACTCATTCCTGTACTTAGTTTAGTTCTTCGCGATTGTCTTCGTCAATAAAGCATTGGTTACCTTTCTAGTTCAGACTCGTCAGCACTAAAACCAACAACTAAGTATACGTACTTAGTTGGCCTTGTTTCTCTACTTCGTCACCTTATTTGGATTACTTGTTTACGGAGCCTGGCTGGGGCGATATACCAAGCAGCGCATTCTTTACGGAGCCTTACTGGGGCGAGATACCACGCGGCGCATCACGACTCAGACCAGAAGGGTCATTATCGATATAACGACGACGACGAAGGACACTCAGGTGAGTGCCCCAACTGAGACTTAACTAACTAGAACCTTAGGTTACGATACGAAGAGAAGCTAGGTTGTGACACCATCGCTTTGTTGAGTTTATTGAGGCTACCTTAGTCAGGCTACTCACCTCTCTGCTCACCCTCTGCTCACCCTCTGCTCACCCTCTGCTCAGTCCCTACTCAGTGATCTGCTCAGGCTGCTCAGGGCGTGCTCGGGTCTACGCAGTGAGCACTAAAACGGAAAGAGAAAAAAGCCTTCGAGCTGTCTAGAAAATCAAGTACGTATGTGGACAGCCTCGCTAGTAAAAAGAATAATTATACCAAGTAGTGATCTATGGGTAAGCATTCATCGGACTGAAAAAGTTCATGGTTCAGACAATATATAGAAAGGATCCCATCCCCGTGCTGTTTTTTGCATTTCACCATGTTTTTCATTTTTTATCTTCCACATCCACACCTCGTTGATCTTGAGGGTTCCAGGAATTTTGGCAATATTGAGCGAGTATACCTCTTACAATTACTTTAGCTAACATTTGGCTGACCAAGTTCCTGGACAGTGGCCGCCCTGCAACTGGCTCCATTCAGAGTGAACCCAGTCAGACGGAACCCAGTCGGAATGGTCCCTTGAATATACCGTTAGTCTTCTTCTGCAGAAATTGTGGCGTGACTTTAGGGCCAGCTTTACCCTTTGGGCGAACATTGAGATTCCAGAAATGTATAAACGAGGTGGTGTGCTTCTGCTGTAAAAAGAAGCGCCAATCTGGGCGATTTGTGAGTACCCGCACGTAGTTTGGATGAACTGGAGGACAACGACCCGTATCGTGTGATCATCTCTTCCGACCTCTGGGAGATTCTATCAGTATTCTGGGAACCGACTGCATCAGATCTCGCAGTGGTATTACTTGATAGTTTCCTATATATCTGCCACCCCCCGCCCTTAATATCACCAAGCAACATGCAGACAACAAATCATTGGGCCGGTGACAACTTCCTGCGAAACGAGTTCATGAGCAGCGTGGAACTTGGACTTGAGGACTGGTTCCCCAGAGACACCAACACGGACAGCTCTACGGCCGCACCATTCTCCTTCCCGCATGCGAACTTTATCCAGACGATTGAATTGACACTCTCCTCGGAAACCAGCAGACCTGGTTTTCCTCGTTGGACTCATGGGCCAAGGCTGCTGTGAATACGCCGTCCGATATCGACCCGGATTGGGTCCGCAGAGCCCTTCGGCTGTTAGTCGAGGCGAATCCCGCAAAGGATGACCTGGCTGAATATGCACACTCCCTGGAATTTGCATGCAATGGCAAGGAAGCCAAGAAGTTCACCAAATCGCTCTTGAAAAAGAGATCATCAAACCTACGTCTATACAACGCATACGCACTTATATAGTGCCGATCTGAAAACACTTCGGCTGCGGAACATGTCTGGGGGACCGCACTCTCCATGAGCAAGAGCTTATCGGATCATTTTTTCCACGTCCAGCGATTCTCTTTCTCGACTGGAAAGATATTGGCCGCCTCAAATGACCCCCAACCATTAGCGAGGAAGCCCCTCATTCCGCAGCCCACGCAATCAGCATCTCTGATCCGGACTCCAATTCGAAATGCATTCTCGCGCGCCCCTAGGGGTCATGATTCAACCCTCTTGATCCGGTCTTCATTGGTCAGAAAGATCGAGGCTGTTCTAACAAGCAATTCTCGGCTTCTTACCTTTGGCCCATATCTGGCCAACTTTCCCCCAAACTGCATCTCCGATCATAGTCCAGGCGACATCAAAAATAAAATACAAATCACCGCGGTCGAAAGGAGCCTTGAGGCCCAACATCCCAAGAATCGCTGGGGGAGAAGGGGGAGCGGCTGTTTCAAACGCTGGAGATTGGTTAACAACTTGGCATGCTTCACAGGATCAATCATACCGTAATCAATGACAGTAACAGTTGAATGTATATAAGTAACGAAGAAATACCAGGGTTTACAAGCAACTGGCCACTACCTATAGAAGAACGCTTATATTGTGACGGGACATCGTAGTGCCCATTTTCGATTAGACGATTGGACAACGACGAGAGAGTATGGCCAGACGAGGTGTGGACAACTCGGAACGGAGACTCAGTGACTAGAGCATTCCGTGCAAAGTTTCATGCCCTGGACTCCATGTGCGACTCCTGGAGCTAGACTTCATTTCAAGCCCCTATTTAAGTATGGACACTCCGATATCTCCTGCAAGATGATAGTAGCAGGTGAGGGTTGGTGATTGGATATAGGTTCTCCTGGGCCCTGCATGTTGGCTAAAACGGACTGGCGGTAGTGCCAGCGTAGTAATATGTTAGGTACGGCGACACATGACTTACTAAAAGTCTGCCGTTCAGGGGAAACATATCCTCTGCAAAATCAAAGGTTCCTCCGGCAAACAAGGCGTCCGTATCGAGTTCTGATCGTCTAACCTGCCGAGCAGGTCGCAAAATAAGAGCTCGAGTATTGTCCTTGGTCCCTGCTCGGAGTCAGACCTTTTGAAATGGTTTGACTCCAGCTTTGAGCTCGCGTACATCTAGATATGTTAGCCTCGTCAGGACCCAGGGTGGCTGACTTACCCGCCCACGACTTAGGACACGCGTATAAAGTAGAGCACCGATATGTGACACGCCGGGCTCGAGATAGCCATATAAGCAAGCCGTGCTACCAAGAGCTGGTACCCAATATCGTTAATGACAGTACTGTGTCCCAAGAAGTCGACAGGAACAAGTCATCCATGTGGTGGCCTGTGGCAATTCGTTTTTATCGTTGAAGAATAAAATTTCCTGGATACTGGATCTTGGATACTAACCTTGTTTTAGCTAGTCCCAAGCCTGATAGGTCGAGAGGGCCCAAGGAGTCCACATCAGACTAATTGTGGCCTTCCTCGTTGAGGTCCATTTGCTCTCCAGCCAATGTCAATTCTGCCATATTCTCAATTGTCCTGTCAGTCTTGCTTGGGCCCTCGAATCACTTGTATCGATGACTGTGGCATCTCTTGTCTCTTAGCTCATTGCTGGTCTTGAATGATCAAAAAGCATCCAAGCTTCACTCTGTTCCTTGCTGTTAGGTCTTCCCATCTGGGAAGCCCTTGAGGTATGCTTTCGAAATCTTATCAGCATTGCTCACTGTGTGAGGAGCAGGACAAGGAATTTAGAAACGGTGTCTATTATTGAAGTCGATTCAGTGTCAAAAGATGATTTAGGCAAATCTGGTGGAAATGGATGCATTCTGGTTGGTTATATATTGCTCATATCTACACCATGCTCCTTGGTAACCCAACTAATTCAACAATGAACCACCCCCAGCTTCAAACTTCTCTACCTCCTTCAGCGCAGCATCCACGGTCTTAACGAGCTGCAAACTATCCTCAAGCCCAACACTAATCCGAATGATGTGCTGCGGCACCCCATACTTCGGCACCTTATCGCGATTCCAATAATTCGCCAACTGAACATACGGGATCGCCAGTGTAAAGTTCGTCCCGAAACTCGAGCCCTTGCACACGTTGGCAGTGTTATAGAAGTGTTCTGCGCTGTCTGGTCTGTGGAAGATTATGCTAAGGACGTTGCCGTAGCCACCGTCCTTGCGCATCACACTTTCATAATGCGTCGCTGTTGGCGAGATTGATGGGTGGTTCACTTGCTCGATTGACGGGTGCGCTTTGAGTAGGTCGACGAGGGGGATAGTGTTTTGGTTGCATTGTTTTATGCGCCAGACTGTGTTTTGACAGTTTTGACGGAGGGTGTCCATGTCGAGCGGGAAGTAGATGATCTCATATTGGGATGACAGAGCGGCATGGAGCTTTTCGTGGTATCGAGAGCTGGGATTGATTACGAGGCTGCAACAGTTAGTATCCGTGCCATACGAAAGTGGAGGAATGAAACATACCTTCCCCCAGTGACATTCGAAGCACCACTGAACGTCTTGGTCAGACTTGACATCATAACATCGACGTACGGAAGAGCATCGATGTTGACATATCCAGCAACGGTGTCGTCGCAACCAACTATAAAGCCGTATGTGTCTGCAAGAGAGCGGATCCGTTGCAGGTTTGGTGATGATAACTTGATGTTGCTAGGTAGTTCACAGAACAGAGCGTGAATTCTTTGACCGGATTTGAGAATGCTCTCCAGATGGTCTAATTCCTCTTCCGTTCCGTCTTTATACGTGAGGACTTCCCCAAAAGGACATCGCCGGAGAACTTCGACGGTTTCTGGGTACAGCCATCCGTACGCAGCAACCTTGGAGTTTACCTGAAGTGAAGACAGACATTTCGACAGTCCATAAATAGCGTTCATTCCATTGGGGTACAAGAAAACATCCTCAGAACGCACAGGTGGCTGTCCTGGCTTTTCCGAGGTTGCCAACTTTGCAATGAAAAACTGCACTTCCTGCAAGCTCGCAGATGCCAATTTTACCCTTGCAAAGGACTGCAAGCTTTGGCTGTGGTATGTCTTCTGAGCTCGGGTTTGGTACTCTGGCTTCGAAGAATCAGACTCAGAGTCAAGATAGTCGAATTGCTCTAAACAGAACTCCGCATGACGGCTTGATAGGCCTGTGCCGGTATCGCGCCAGAATCCCATTGCTGCCTTCCACTGGTCGGAGGGGAGTAAGACTGCGGTGAAGTTGGCCCAATTGGGATCTTTCTCTCCAGCATTTGGCTCGAGAGGCATGGTAAACCGGACTACCTCTAAGATAGACAGAGTCTCCGACGAGGCCGTCCTAAGGGTCTCGACACATTGTCGTGCGGCAGTAGCAGAAGAGAATACCATACAAGCAACGCTCTCGTCGGTTATCTGGAGCCGTCGCAGTACAGCAGCAGAGAGGTCTCGGACAGGCTTGTTGATATAGAATCTGGTGCATGTTAACTAACTGTCCCTTTACTAGCACTGAATCAGTTGTGTTTCACCGAGGATAGCTCCATTCAAGAGTGTCCAGTACCCATGGCTCTTTCCGGGACAATCCAATTACCGAGTCCCAAGTCGGTAAAGAAACACTAACAGCCTATTTGATGTCAATCAATATGCATTGCAAGTTGATGCGGTTCCCTAAACATCACTTACATGTCCCTCGCCTCGGGGATACATGTTGGCCTTGCCCATCGGCAGCGCCCGAGGAGCCTTGGGGGGCATCCAGGATTCCGGGGTTGGACCAGCGTCGCCCATTGTGATCTAAAATTAACTTTTAAATAAAACGGGAAATTGCGGTGCGAGGTATACAAAATTATGTTCAATTCCGGAACCAAGATCTAGGGAAATCTGGAGGCGGAACAAGCCAACTCTATATGTGCTCCGTATGAACAGAGCTGAAAAGGACCGGTACTCAAACAAAATCCTGCCATTATACATTGCCATTACCTAAAACTTTCAGCTCTACCGCGCAATTTCTGCAATGCATGAGCTGAACTTGGTGCACATAGATCGCCAAGGGGCGCGACACCGGCAAAGGAAATGATGTTCGGGATAGGTACTCCACACATCCATACCTTCAGCTCGCCACGTTGATCCGAGTTCGCGGTTTACTGGTGGGTCGTATCTGCTTGAACTCAGCAGTCAGCTCAGCTCTTGTTATGGCGTGGCTTCAACTGATGCATCGGTTGCTTTGCCACCGATTCTGGGACCGCGGCAGTCCGAAAAAACAAGAAAAAAAAAAAACAAAAAGTATATCTACTACTTGGAACTGAACCTTTTTCAAAATTTTCTGCTTCTCGTGGGGTAAACACCGTGTCTCCAAAACCATGGCTGCCAGTGCAGAATACCAAACTCAAGCCAAGGCAGAGACTACGAAGCGTCTTCTGGCACAGTTAGTTAACGAAGAGTTAGTGACTCTGCACTTATTTTTCTGCGCTGCATCTCAAAGGTTGAAAGGTCGCATTGCAGATGCGGGCGACACAACTCGATGGATCGAAGTCAGTCTGGCTAGTGACATCAATGCAGCCCCAGCCCAGCTCCTTTGGAGACCGGATGACTTTGAAGTTCCGGTCATCCTCAAGCGTGTTGATATCAAGGAGCTTCAAGAAGATGATCCAGGTGCTATTTTCCAGTTCATTGCACTGAGGTTTGATTGCGATGAGGGAACCAAGGAGGCAATCACCCTAGAATTGTCCAATTCAGCGGCCATGTTAGGTATGCTGTCCCCTCCCCCAAACAAGGCCATTATGTTGGATATCCGACTAACCAGGAAATAGAAGAATGGTTAGGAATGGCTGATACACAGCCACTGCCCAGTCTGAAGTCTTCATTTCTTGAATGGGAGAGATCTATCATTAAGGGTCATCCTACCCATCCGGTATGTATTCATCTATCCTTCTGTGACTGCTACTGCGCGCTCAGGCGTGGTCGATGGAAAGAGAGAGGATAGCTCCGATCAGACATCTGGCGTTCTCTCGTTGGAGAACCTGCGCGAGAATGAGAACGAGGGAGTTGATTGGGGCGATGCGTCGAATACCACGCCAGCGAAGTCGGCGTCGCCTCGTATAGCTGAGGCGGTGGCGGAAACTGGGCCCGATGCTGAAATGGTTGATGCCCCTCCTGCCGATGAATCTGGTATGGAAAGGGACTTAAGCGCCGGGGTGGTTCTCTGCTCGGCGTTCCAGGATGAATATTTCCATTAGCCAACGGAGCGAGCCCGACTCCACCAAGCTCCCTTGTCTCTCTGCTCACAGCCTCTCCCCTTGGCTTTCTGCTTGGGAACACTTATATGATCCGGACGCTGCCACTATGCACCTCGGATTTTAAAAATTTTTTTAAACATGATACAGCAAATACTGCAGGCTGCTCCCTCTTTATATTATTTTCCACCTCCATGCCCTCTTGCGATGAAGGCTTGCAGAGACTACTTGCTCCTATCACCAAGTCAGACATTCCGTATCCGCTCAATATTTTCCAAACGACCTTCAACAGGACATATGATGTGCTCTACATCTGCATCTAACAAGGATCCGATTCCATTTAGTTATAATTGCAATGACGTGGGCATGGGTTTCAATTCACATGCTTATACTAGCGGACGCTGGCTTCGTCATGACAAGGAGGAGCGAGCCTCACGTTACATCAGTTTCGACTTTCAAGCCCTTTGTCACAAAATCCTTGAACTATCACCGGGAGCAAGCACAATCACAAGATGCCAAAAGCTCAAAGGAGGCTTCAATAGGGTCTTTATTTTTGAATTGAACAATAACAAACGGATGGTGGTGAGACTCCCATTCACGCTGGCTGGGCCGGCACTGTTAACCACCAGTTCCAAAATCACCACAATTAGATATTGTGAGTTGGAGTCTGGATTTTATTGGTTGTTCCAGTTAACGGTTCACTGCTCCTCTTAGTGCAGATCAAAACTACCATTCCTATACCAAAAATATTCGACTGGAATTGCGATGCCACGAGTATCGACAATACCATTGGCAGCGAATATATCATCATGGAGCATGCTGCTGGCATCCAGTTTCACAGGAAGTGGCAAGAAATGGCTGGTGATCAACGTGTTAGATGCATAGACGCCATCTACCAGAAGGCCAAAGAAATGGCTGACCTACAATTTCCATCTTTCAGGAGTCTATACTTAGCCGACAGCCCAGTAAGTCCTAGCAACAAACAAACCTTAGACGAGAAGTTTTGCATTGGACCACATTGTGGAACTAGATACTGGGACTTTGGGATCGGAGAAGACGGGTGTTATCTTGACACAAATCCAAACCAGGGATCTTGTGAGTTGCTTAGGGAACATCAATAATTGAGTTCATCGCTAACAAGGGACTAGGAAACGATCTCGCAAAATACTGCGACGGCCTCGTTTATGCTGGTCTCTCAAGACTACCTTCTGTGGACTCCGATGTAAAAAGCAGGCCGTTCTATCATGGCTCAATTGAAACACACAGGAAGCTAGCACACGCGCGAGTTGTGCTAAAATACATGTCTGGAGATCCTCGAATAGCGGCTTCCGCAAACCCGGTATTATTTCATCCAGATTTCCATAAAAGAAATATCTTTGTTTCGGAAGACGATCCTTCCATAATCACAGGTATTATCGACTGGCAGGCTGCGAGCATTGAGCCAGCTTTTTGGTATTCTGGCGAAATACCATATTTTGTGATGACTTTTTGTTTCAGGAGATGAAATCTGCTCTCAATTTCTCACATCAAATCATGTTGAAAGCTCACTGGTGACTTCCTGGTAGATATTATCAGTATATTGGTGTTGACCTGGTACAGCACTGGCAATGGATCTCAGACTCAGATGAGACAGTCCGTTTCCTGTATACATTTTTTAGCTGGTGGTGTGATACCCATCATGGCAAGAATGGTCAGCACTGTCCAGGCATTGGATACAAGAGTTTGCTTGAGTCATTCTGGAAGTATTGGCATCTTGTTCTGAAACAGGAGTAGAGTTGCATTCGGCGCGGTTTGGCGCGGATTAAGCCGCAAAAGCCGCAAGATTCCGCACTATGCCTATTTAGACATACACTAAACTAACTGCAGTTAAAGTCGGATTGGATTGGATTCGGATTCTATCGTACGGCCTTTTTATACACAATCTGGCGGCTGTCAACTAAGCGCAAAAGGGAAGGTCGTTGCGAAAGAAGATCAAATAGATAAAAGGAATACAGAGTGCATAGTGCATGTATGCGGGGGGCCATAGTCAAAGGATGCTGGCTGCATAGCCGTAGTCCCCCGTTCTTATCATCTCTTCTGGCCAGCCAGCCAGCGAATAAGCCCTATACCCTAGTACGTGCTCCAGTGACCCTGCAATTCGAGCTACCCCGTTCCTGATTGGACCGTCTGTCTGTCTCCGCGTCTTCACTCGCTCTCATACTCCCAAATGCGGGGTATCACAGGGACCCCGCGTGATCTCCACCATACCGACCTAGGAAGGGATCTTTGCATCTCCCCGAGACGGGGACAACATTGGATCGCATGAGCCAGAATGAATTCGACTTTCGATCACAACAGTACCCGCAGCACATGCTTTCATGGCACCGCAACAATGCCTCCGCGCTCGCCCTATAGACAACCACGCATACGAAAGTCCCGAGGCCGCGGCCTGCGGACGACGAATGGATGGTGAGCGCCTCCTGCATTCTGACCGTGTCGTGCCTTTGTTGACCCGATAATTGCAGCATAACGTGTCGAAAACGGCATCTGAAGTGTGATGAGACCAAACCGATATGCGGACCTTGTGCAAAAAATGATAAAATATGTGAATACGCCACTTTGGGCCGTCGCAGCACCAACGTCCCGGCCTCTGACGGGGCCATTAGTGATGCTGTCCCCGCGCCAACTTCGCAGCAGACAGCGTCTCCAGAGATTAATGATCATCCATCAAGTGGTGTGATCCCAGATCCTGCGCCCAATGAACCTCTTCAAACCACTGACTTGTCCTGGACTTGCTCTGAGCCGGATGCTAACCGCCCCCCGCCAGCGCTATTAGACCACCTGTCTGCGGATGCCCTAGCTGCGAACCAAAGTCCGATAGCCCTGCAAAATACCTACCTGTCACCCTCCAATGCATCTTTTGCGGCGGTGCGATGGCTCGGGTTACTTGCAAGTGACGCTGCCAGGGACAGCCCACAGCTGGCGACTATCCCCAATTCCTACGCGAACCAAAATCCTCCGTCTGGTCACTTTAGTGCTAATGGTCTGATACAACGCAGCTCGCTGCAATATGCGACCCAGGTGCTGGAAAGCCCTCCTGCCAGTAACGCGAGTCATGACCAGACAGACTCCAGTGCCCCGGGAGACGTTACGCTTAGGGAGAAACGGATTTGGCAGTCACGGGGGCCAATAGAGCTATTAGAGGCTGAGCAGACTCTGTTTGAATATTTCGTGCATCAAGTGAGCCCTTGGGTAGGGTGCTCTTCCCACGCTTGCGACTTCGACAGCCTAACAATCCCTTCTCGCAGATCGATCTTTTTGACCCCACAAGTCAGTTCTCTACATTTGTTGCACATCTAGCGGTAAGCTGATTTGTGTTTATTGGTCTTTTTTTTTTTTTTTTTTTTTTTCCCTTGAAGATTGATTTGACGTTCCCAGATACACAATGCTGGGCTTATGAATGCTATACTCGCTCTTGCATCCCGGCATCTTGCATTAAATACTTGGCTAGATAAAGATAATATGCCAAATAAGGAGGAAGCAGCTCTTCAATGTTATTATCAGACTCTTTACTATGTGCAAAGAGCCATGCAATACCCCAGCTACCAGACAAGTCTGGAGCTCCTTGCAACGACACTCATCATTTCCGCCTACGAAATGCTTGACAATTCCACCAACGACTGGGAACGGCACCTTGAAGGAGTCTTCCTGATCCAGAGGTCCCAGACCATCCATGGAGAATCCGGTGGACTGCATTCAGCCGTGTGGTGGGCATGGCTCTGCCAGGACATCTGGGCCGCTTTTCGAGAGAAACGCAAGACCTTTACATTCTGGGTGCCACAGAAACCACTTTCTGTACTATCACCGCATGAACTCGCTACGCGCGCAATCTACATTACCGCAAAGGTACTTAGCTATTGTGCTGACGCCACAACCGAAGAAAACATCCAGGGTCAAATTCATGAGGCAACCCGTCTTCGCACCATGTTGGATGATTGGCGAAAACATCTGACTATCGAGTTTTTACCATTGCCTCTCGGTTCGCGTGAACAATCATCTTGTTTTCGACCAATCTGGATCCGCCCTCCTGCATTTGGTATGTATCAGACATCGGGCCTACACTTCCATAAACTGACACGACTATGTAGCTGTGGCGGTTCAGTTCTTCAGTGTCTCACACATCCTCTTACTTGCTCACGAGCCCAGCATGGGAGGGCTTGACCAGTATCTCGGACGACAGAGTGTAATAAGGCGATGTGTGGAGAATATATGTGGCATTGCTAAGACTTTAAAAGACGCCGCTTCTAGCTTGATGTCATCGCAGGCTTTGTATATTGGTGCGTGATATCTTGTGATCTATCCAGACAAGGTGGGGAGGGGCTAATCAAGGCATAGCGGGAATCTTTACGCAAGAGAATCATGCCCGAGAAGCTATCTTGGAGTTGCTGGAGTCCTGTCGAGAGCGAACTGGCTGGCCAGTTAAATCTTTGGGGATTGAGCTACAGCAGCTTTGGGAAAGCATTGAGCCTGCCAAAGCCGCAGCAGCCGCAAGAGTGTCTGTGTAGTATATTCCTACCGATTTGATATCTTTATGCGAATAATGCTTCTTTTCTATGCCTCACAGGTCTATATTCCAAGCAATGCTCCCTTTACTCCCACTCCAAGTTGGACTCTCCACAATCGGTGCTCATTGAGGGCAAAAATTTCCCCATTTCTCCCAAAACAAAAGTTCGCAACACCACCGCCAATTAAGATCCGACCCAAAAGAACGCCCCCCGGGGACCAGATATTTATCCCATCCCCACAGCCACTATAGACATTCCCATTGAGGTCGCATTTGATCCCGTCTGGGACCCCCTGGTCTGCCATAGCAAAGACCCGACGGTTTGTGAGAAACGGCTCTCCGTGATACATAGCTACATCAAAGGCGTAACTAAATAGAATCTCACCATTAGTAATTCAGACCAAATACAAAAATACAGCATGGGAGGGGGGAGAAAGCTTATACATTGAAGATGCTCGCTGATCATCAATCGTCCCATCACCATGAACCCGGTCAGTATCCGTGATATAGACAACCTTCTCATCCGGCGAGAAGCAGATACCATTCGGTCTCCCAAATCCATCTGCCATAGCCCTAATACTCCCATTATCCGGACACCACCGGTATACCTGATTCGGCAGACACGGCTTTGGCCGATATCCCTGCTCAGAGCCGTAAATGGGATCTGTGAACCAGACCGAGCCATCTGTATGCACAACCACGTCATTGACAGAATTAAACAGCCGGCCAAGGAAGTCCTGTTTCAACAGTTCCGATTGATACGGAGTGACGGTGGACATGCGGTACAATCCGCTTGGTTCAGTCATAGACCCCTGTGCACAGAAGAGCACGTGGTGCTTGCCATAGTTAATGCCTCCGTTGGCCATGGGGATTTTGGTGGGGATTTCCTCGCGGGTAACTACTGGATTTTGACTCAGATCAACACGGGTGATGTGTACTTTTTGCTGTCCATTCAGGCCAGTGCATCGGTTGCTGGTGGTGAAGAGGTCGTTTGTAATAGGGTTGTAGACCCCGGCCTCGTGGGCGAAAGGGTAGTCATGGTTCTCTGCTAGTAGCTCTAGTGATGGTGATGGGCCAACAATTGCACTGAATCGCTCGTCATGGCCCTGAAAGGACGTGTTGATGGTTTTTGACATCTTGTGATGCACTGGTTTGTAGTTTTTTAACCGATGCTGCTCCAGTGGGGAGAAACAAAAAAAAAACTGGTATAAGGTCTGTTGTACGGTGACAGCAGAGTCAAGGAGCTTGTAAATAATGAGGAGAATAACAGAGACCGATGCAGCTTTGAATGGTGCCAATGGCTGAGGGGAGACAATTGGGATCTCGAGGTTGGTGGGGCAGCCCCAGTGCTCGTCTCGGGGACATCTCCGATCGTCCCTAACCATACCATCCCCATTGTAGCTCACCACTCTTAAATAGACCAACCACTCAAGCCACAATGATTACGACATTGTCTTTTTCTACGCTTCCATCTAGTAATTTTCTCCAATCCCCAGAATGTTCTGGAAAGGCGCGAACCGCCATAAGTGCATCCTGCGCGACGCCGAAGCCGGCCGGTACGGCGTCATTGCTGCCATCGCCTACAACATCGAACAAGTCCTAGGTCTTGTCCGGGCTGCCGAGACCGCTCGCTCCTCCCTCATCATCCAATTCTTTCCTTGGGCAATCGAGGTTACCGATGGCCTGCTGGTGCGGACGGCCGCGGACGCCGCCCAACGCGCAAGTGTGCCCATCAGTATCCACCTCGACCATGCGCAGTCGGAAGCTATCATCAAACGGGCGGCTGACCTGCCCTTTGATAGTATCATGGTTGACATGTCGCACTACGAGAAGGAAGTCAACTTGAAGAAGACCCGGGAGCTGGTGCAATATTGCAATGAGCGCCAGAAAGCCACTGAAGCCGAGCCGGGGCGCATTGAAGGAGGTGAGGATGGGGTCATGGATACTGCGGGGCTAGCAGCGTGTATTACAACCGCCGAGGAGATGGATGAGTTTGTTAACACGGGTGTGGATGTGCTGGCCCCGGCGTTTGGGAATGTTCACGGTGAATATGGCCCCCGCGGCGCACAATTGGATTTCGAGAGGTAAGTGTGAGAATGTCTTCTCTTGTCATCCAGATAATCCACTAACAGGGGCATTAATAGATTCGAGAATATTCGCGGCCAGGCGAACGGAAGAGTTCATCTGGCGCTTCACGGTACCAACGGGTTTGCTCCAGAGCTCATGGTGCGTTGCGTGGCTGCTGGAGTGACCAAGATCAATGTGAATCGACTTGTGTTAGATGACTACTACGACCACCTTCGAGCAAACGTGGACAAGATGCCACACACCCAGCTTATTGAGGAGGGCATTCAGAAGGTGGCGGATCTGACCATCAAGTGGATGGATATTTGCGGCTCTGCGGGAAAAGCATGAAGAGCGATGTAAATTATACATAGAGCTAGAATAATGCTTCAGTATTTCGGCAGATAGGTCTTGATCATCGCACCAGGGATTGCTATTCCGGCTCGTAGTGTTCTCTCTTGAATCAATTGACCATGTCCCATTAGAGACCTCCAAGGAAATTGTGAAATTGTTTTCAATTCAAACAAAAGTCCAACTCTACGTCTATTTGATATCAATTACAAACAACGCAAAACCAAGTCACTCGTAATTATTGTAATTTACTATACATGCCTCCATCCGCCAACAATCCCGTGCCATTCACATATCGGCTCATTTCCTCGCACGCTAAGAACACTGCCGGGCCTGCCATATCATCCGGGCTACCGATGCGACCAAGGGGAATGCGCTCTTCAAGGGCAGCCTTCTTGGTAGGATTCTTCATGTCATGGTCCGCCAGCTGGGTGGCAATGGTACCGGGCATCAGCGCATTACATCGGATCTGATCCCTGCCTAATGCAATTGCCATGGACTGCATCATGGACAGAATCGCGGCCTTTGTCGGGGTGTAATGTGTCTGGAAGCCACCACCAAGGAGAGCACTGACGGAAGAAACCCCGATGATTGAACCGCCGTGCCCTTGCTTCACCATCTGGCGAGCAGCGGCTTGGCAGGAATAGAAACTGCCCTTGACGTTGACGTCGACGCTGTGGTCAAGAAGAGATTGCTCGATCCTATGTATATTAGCAATTGGCTCTTTGCGTTGTGGATATAACTGGAGAACTGGTTACTTGAGAAATTCTGCTTGCTTGAACACTCCCGCATTAGCGACAAAAATGTCCAGCTTTCCCCATTGAGACACTGCTTCCTTGATCAGACTGGTACTGGTCTCAGGGGAGGTCACATCGCCGGGGATCTCCAAGATCTTGCCCGCATTTATGCCCTCTTTTTCAATCAACTTGACTTCCTCAAGGAGACTGTGGCGATGAGATTCATCCTGGGGGAGGCCCAAGTGGTTTACAGCGACGTTGCATCCTTGAGAGATATATCCCAAAACAATTGCGCGGCCAATTCCAGTGGTGCCGCCGGTAATGGCGGCGGTTTTGCCTTTGAGCAGATTCCAGGCGGGGAGAGCCATCGTGAATTAAGCTATAGCGACAAAACACGAAATTTGAGTCCGTGATGGAATTGAACAGAGAGAGAGGGGAAGAGAATCGAGATCGAGTTACTTGTTGAGTGGCCGGCCGGGGGATAACAGTCCGGAGATTTTCAGGGCTTACCCCGCGACTGCGTATTTTTTTAACTGAGGAGAACTGTTGTCCATCTCCATTCAACTATCCACAATGGTCTCGGCAATTCCAGAAAGAATATAGGAGAGGGTCTTCCGGTGTCGTCTCGAGGACATGAACATCTTTGCCATTTCGGGCGATCACCGAGTCGAGAGACCGGGGGTGGGTCATGGTGATGATAGATGAGTCGTTTTTTGCTTCTATGCCTTTTATAAAAAAGAAATCATCTCCCATATTGTCAATCGCTTTCTCAGTCAATCATCTGTGTCCGCTTTGCTCGTATCTTTTTTCCATATCATCACAATGGCTTCCTCCGCTGTCTCCCAAGAATCGACTACTCCCCAGACCCAAGTCACCCTTGGAGGCAAGGTTATCGCTAGTATGTAAATTGAATATTCAAAGGTTTCAAAGAATGATAACTAATGTCGCATTGGATAGTTACCGGTGCCAACCGTGGAATTGGCTTGGGTATCGCCGAATGCTGTCTCTCTAACGGCGCTGCCAAGATCTACTCTATTGATATTGGTGAGACCGGAGAGGACTTCATTGCCTTGTCTGAGCGTTATCCCGATCAGCTCTTTGCTGTCAATGCTGATGTGACCAATGAATCAACAATTACTGCTGCAATTGATAATATAATTGAGGAGACCGGTGCTCTGCATGGAATGGTAGTTAACGCCGGACGAACCCACCACAAGGCTGCCCTTGACTTTACCAAGGAGGAGATCGAGAACCTTTTCAATGTAAACCTCTTTGGAGCCTTCTATAGCGCACGTGCTGCTGCTCGTGCATTTATCAGGCTTGGAATCAAGGGATCCATTGTCTTTACAGCATCGATGGCTTCCTACCGACCAAACAAGGCATGCCCTCATCTTTCCTACTTTTCCTTTAAAACCATATTAACCAATTCACTCCAGCGCGTCCCCTCCACTCCCTATGGTGCCTCAAAGGCTGGTATTCGGAATATGACCCACACTTTGGCGATGGAATGGGCACAATACGGCATCCGTGTCAACAGTGTCTCTCCAGGTCTTGTTAATACTGCTATGACATACTGGGTTCCTCAGCAGCCGGACTGGGAGCAGCAACTCAATTACTATGGTGGTTTCCCTCGGTTGGCCGAAGTGCAGGAACTTGGCGGTGCCTATGTGTATCTCCTGAGCAATGCCGCCAGCTACACTACCTCAATTGATATTCCGGTTAACGGTGTCATTGGAAGTGAGTACTTTCAAGCTCTCTTTTTAATAAACAGTACATGCTAACCTGCACAGTCTGCTAATCGAAATGCAATAAATGTGACGGCAACAGTTTCGATTCGTAAATGTGAATGTGATTAGGGTTCCTTGGTTCAGCTAGATTCTTGATACTAGAAATAAATGCCTTTATGTATATTTTCCAAAGATGACCTGCTGCCTTTGTATATGTGATCAATAATATGTGGATCTCGACGTCCCTGGTTGAAGTGTTAAACGCCTCACCCTCTCCTCCATTAACTTAGGTTCGCCTAGATTCAACCTCACCCTTTTCATGTCTCCAGTAAATTTTCTGTCTTTCAAGTCTCTCATGGGCGCTCCAGCGCTTTCAGATTAGAGTGAAGCGCGATAGCCATAAGACAGAGCTCTACGTAGCTCTTAATTTAGTGAGCAAATATACAAGTAACTTGGCTCACTTTGAGCGGCGTATCTTCTACCTTTCGTAATCCAGGTCTACAATATTTCATGATACCAGTCACTGAGCATACCCAAAAGAGAATTCACAATTTGTTAAACGGGCCACAAATCAAAAGAGCTCATTTCCTAATAGCTAGAAACCGTTTCTTCATGCTCAGTGTCAACATTCAACCCCTTTTCGGCTTCGGTGACGCTGTTAACAGGCCGACGAGCAGCGCCGATATCTGGATGCTCTGCTCTGAGTGCCTGGAAGTTTGTCTCAGCTGCCCAGACCCAGGGGGACTTAGCAGCGAAAAGCAGATCCATTTCCTCGAGTGTACGCTGGCTAGACTCAGGGTAGAGAGCCCATACTATTTATTCTATCAGCCAAGGACAGACAGGGGTTTCATGGGTTAAACTCACTAATTGGGATACTAATAAGGTTTACAGCCCCGAACACATGCAGGGTATTCTCACCAATAGCGCCGAAGATATACGGGAGGGCTAGGGTGAGTGATCTGGAATGTGTTAGAAACCTTTATTGTAAACGGGACGAAGAGGGTTTCGAAAAATATAGAACGTACCCATTGCCCAAACTCCAGCCAACCACGCCCCATGCATTTCCCTTGGCTCGAACCTTGAGCGGGAAAATCTCCGCTGGGTAAAGCCATGGAACGGTGAGCCAGGTAGCACCAAAAACGAAGGTATATAAATAGACCATGGAAGTTGCCCCGATTCCCCACGAGTCCATGTTGTTTGAATGGTCCAGTCCACCACGAGCAAGACCTCCCGCGAGGAACATGGCAATTGCTTGCCCTGCGGCTCCCCACCAGAGGGTCCAGCGGCGGCCGATGCGATCAAGGGTAAAGACACAAAGGAGGGATGCGAAGGCGTAGAAGATGTTGTTGAGTCCAGAGATCCACATTGTTTTGTGGGAATCGAAACCGGCAATTTTGAATATTGCTTCAAACACTTTAGAATCTGCGGAGACCGAGTAACAAAGTAGAGACAACTTACTTGGTGCGTACATTGTGACGCCGGCAATCCCTGACCAACTTTGCAGAATCTGCAGCCAGATCACCAACTGCACCCGTCGTGCAATGTGCATATCCTCCCTGCCAATGCCGAAAACCATGTGGAAGTAGGTGATCTTTTCTCCTGATTCGTTTTCAAGCTCGACAATAGCGTCAATTTCCCTCATCTCCAGCATGGCCGCACGTTCGTTCTCAGACCCGCGAAGACGCTTCAGCACATAGAGAGCTTCCTCACGACGGCCCACCACGCATAGCCAACGGGGGGATTCGGGGAAGGCCCAGCATCCGGTCACTAGCAGGAGCAGCATAAAAATTTGGAAGGCAATAGGAAATCGCCATTGGAACTCGGATGTACCATTGTCAATGTAGCTGAGGCCGAATCCCAGCCAGTAAGCAACCACCACACCAAAGATGTTCAATGTGAACTCCATGGCAATAAACTGGCCACGAGACTCGTAGTCGGAAAGCTCGGAGCCATATACCGGAACGGTTGCATTCAGCACTCCAGTGCCGATACCGTTGATTAGACGAGACACAATCATCCACGACGGGTTCATCGCTGTGCACTGGAGCGCGGCGCCGATTATTCCCCAGACGGCACCAAAACCAAGGGACTTGATTCGTCCATAGCGATCACTAACATAACCACCCAGGAAGCATCCGACTAAAGTCCCCAGATAGAAGACTGAAACGATGCCTCCTTGTAAAAGAGTGTTGGTCACAGTCACTGAGCCATTCTCCTTGTATCCTAAACCCATCCGGTTCACGTATGCCTCGGAGTCATTGACTCCGCCCATCATGCCTTGGTCATAGCCTGCGTGGTTCGACAGCACGAGTCAATACAGTAAATATCAGATTGTTGACAGGGGAGATTGGGGTAGGCTGACCAAAAAAGAAGATCGCGAGACCAGCAAGGCCGTTAACAGCTATCAGCAGTGGCTTCTTTTCCAGCCTGCTTGTAATCTTCCAGCTTGCCCGCTCATCATTTATCATTGTGAATATTACGCACACAGAGGAGAGAGTACTTGAGGATGTATTACAACAAAAAACAAGAAGGGATGAATGTGTTTTATTCTTCTTGGTAATTCCTTGAAGAGCGCGGGTCCCTCCTTACTATATTATGCCCTAATACCCCTATACGTCATGCCATGTTGGCCCCGGACTACATCCAGACATGACCCACCTGATATCGAATCTGGGGGTTAATTACCCCGGATCCAAAAACAGGAAGTGCGAAGATTAATTTTAATCCTTCCCTGACTGGAGCCCGGGGAGCACTCGACTCGGGGCACAAGACGCGAAATGGGGGCGGCTTTTTTGTTAATTGGACCTTTTTGGCGGAACATTCCCGGGGTGTTAGACTGAGAGGCACCCTACAGAATAGATCGCTTGCTACTCTAGGGCGGAACACATATGAGGACAAGAAGAACCATTGACATGGAACAAGGACAAATCATCATTGACTCCAGTGTCATACGGGCCCTGAAGCTGGAGGTGATGGAAGAAGAGGACGTACTGAAAATTAAGGGTTGTTATAAAGGGACAAACGAGATCAAGTCATTCAAGCTCACGAGCCGGCCCAATGTCGTTTTTGTAAACAAGGGCAGCTCAATCAAGCCACACAACAAAGGAAATTTTCGATTCATTTTTGAGTGTAAACTTTATCAAAACTTCACCTGCATTACAGGAGGACAAGAGTTTCACAAATTGAGATTAATGGCATGGAAGCGGTACTATAAAAAAATGTTTCTCTAAATGACCAACAGTACGCTCCGAGTTCGCACAATAAGCGCTCCAAGCTGGACATCTGGTTATCCCAGGCACATCTAGTTCAAATCAGAAGTTGGATGTTCTGGAGAAGAGCCTGGGCCCTCCCGAGGCTAGTAAAGCGATTCTCCATGGTGTTCCTCTTCGTCCTTCACGCTGTGTTGACTGCCTGGCTTTTCTGGGAGCGATAAGACAATCACTTGTGGCTCGTAAAAATTGCCAACAATCAAATATACCAAAGTAGCACAGCTGAAGTCCGGAGAGATCCTCGTCGCACTTGGGCCCTCGTCTCGTAGCGGCACCGACACGGGAGCACTGTCATCTCCACTGGCCCCCGCTTAGAACAATTTTGAGAGCCCCACGATTCCTTGTAGCTGGGCATTTAAACCCTCGCCCTAGCGTCATGATCTGGGGAAAGCTTTTATCGGCCTACTGTTTAATCGGCCCTTTGCTCCCGCCCCAGGAAAATCCGGCGCATACGCATCTCGGTGAAACTCCACAAACCGCAAACCGTGCATGCAGCAGCACCTAACCCTCACACCATCATTATGTGCTCTCTTGCAGCCGGTGCAGCTCGCACCTGGGTGTTCGGAAGGCCTTTCTTCCTGTCTCAAAAGCCCTCGGCTCGGACTGTGACCACTCGCGCTACCTCATACACACTCAACACCGACGCGAGGATCCCGGCGCTCGGCTTCGGCACATTCCAAGATCCGGATTCCCAGGAAGAGACTGTCAGTCAGGCCTTGCAAAAAGGCATGCGTCTGATTGATACAGCTCGGGTGTACAATGTTGAAAAGCAGGTTGGAAGGGGAATCAAGACGAGTGGTGTTCCCCGTGAAGACATTTTTGTTAGCACAAAGTTGTGGTGCAATGACTACCACCCTGATGATGTGGAGAGGGCTTTGGATGACTCCCTGAGAGATTTGGACACGCCATATGTTGACCTTTTGTTGATGCACTATCCTTGCACCTTCAAGCGGGGGCCTGACCGATTCCCTCGGAATGCCGAAGGCAGGATGATTCCAGGCGAAACCACTTATGTCGACACGTGGAAAGCAATGGAAAAATTAACCAAAACCAAGGCCAAAGCCATCGGAGTGTCAAATTTCAGCAAGGGCGAAGTTGAGACTTTGCTCCAGGAGACTTCCACAGTCAGTACATCCAGATTATCGCGAAATGAGAAACTAATTGATACTTCAGGTCCCGGCTGTTCACCAAATGGAAACCCACCCCTATTTGCAGCAGACGGAATTCAACAAGTGGCTGCGGACAAAGCAAATTCACGTTATCCAGTTCAGCCCCCTGGGTAACATGAATGACTTCTACCGCCAGACCGGATGGTCCAAGGAGATCGCGCACATGATGCGGGTTATTGACCAGCCAATTCTGAAGGAGATTGGCCAGAAGTATGGCAAGACCCCTGTGCAGGTGGTGCTTGCATGGGGAATCAACAGCGACCGTTCTGTCATCCCAAAAAGTGTTGTTGACTGGCAGATTGAAGAGAACTTGGCGGCTGATTTTGAGCTGCAACCTGAAGATATGGCCTGTATTGCAACTCTGGATGCGAAAGCTCGCTTCAATGACCCCAGCTTGGATTATGAGTGGCGTTTGTACAATGACTTGGAGGGCATTGACGGCACCATGAGAGGGAGGACTCACTAATTGATGTTTCTTTTTTATTTTATGTTTCTTTTCCGAGGGCGTTTGAAGAAAATGTGTAGAGACTATGCAAAAGGCATGTTTTCATCGCCCTGAAGTTCAACATGCTCCATTGAAGGAATTACTCCCAGCTTTGAGTTTAGGGTCGTGCTGCCGTTGGCATACTGCTTCCTCCGAACTTATTGATACTTTCTCAATAGTTTAAACAAGATCGGATGAATCATCATGACAGCTTCACCAGAATCCATTAGCTCCTATATTCTACATGTCTACACAATGGATAATTGAACATAGGGCATCAAGTATCTTTCATGCTTGCCTTCTTTTCTTTTTCTTTTTCCCCCGCTAGGCAGCATTAATGCACATGCATACACATTCAGGGTCTCTTAGGCGACGAGGCTGTGAGCCTCAGCCTGGCCAAGGTAAATATAAATACGAGGTACCGAACCCCTTTTCAGCTCAAAGCCAACCAGACTAATCCTTCTAAATAGTGACCTCGTCGACCATCATCCAGCTCCCACGGGTCAGATCCTCCGCCCCCCAAGTCGAGTGGCTAGCGGCCGCTCTATCTGCGCCGGCGAAGCTTGACGGTGTTTCTGGCATTTTACATCGCGATCCTGGCGGCTCTCGAGCTCCTAAATCAGGTTTCCCATGTCAATCATGGATTCGTGGTATCGTCCCAAAGTCGACATTATCTGTGGACTTATGGTCCCACGGCCAGTGTGTTGAATTACTGCACGTCTATTCTAAGATCTATCTCTAACTCCATCAGTCCTGACTGCTATCATCGCATTCTGGTCGCGTGTCAAATTCCAGGCAAAGCAGAGTGCGCCATGGTCTGCAACGCTTGAAACTCCCACAAAAGCAACGAAAAGCATTCTCCTGGACTACATTTCTCCCAGTCAGCCTGCCACGCTGGTCAAAGCGTTTCGCAACCAGCATTATCTGTTAGCAGCGAGCGTAGTATGTTCGCTATTGTTGAGGTTGCTTGTAACCTTATTCACTGGCCTGATAACACTCTCACAATTCCAAGTTGAGTATGGTACTGTTCCAGTCCAGATATTAGATTTGTTTAGTGCCAACAAGGACCGCCTGAGCTCCGTAGACATGGAACCGCGCACATCCCTCGAAGGAATCATTTTTCACAATGCCAGCTATCCCGAGGGCACCGACAAAGATTTTGCGTTCCCGCGATTCAGCGCACCAGACATCCCACCAGATGCTTCCATCCAGGCCACTATCGATGGCTTTGCAGCAGACTTGGATTGTCAGCCATGCCAGCTCGTCGTGGACAAAGACCGGGCTTGCTTCATGAATTTAGTATCACCGGGCGTTTCATTTATCTCTTCAAATTGTACTATGATCTTCACGAGAGTACATCGACAACAAATGCTGCTGCTCTTGCGGAACAAATTACCGCAATCCCAGCCGAAGAAGCTGTCATCATCATCCTCATCTCTGGTCGCCTTACACAGACGAACGAAAAGGTGGTTTTCGGATATCACCTCCCATGGTATGACTCCTCTCTGATAATGAGGGAAGGAATCACTGTCTCCTGTTCCAATTAAGCCCCGTCCACGATATGTTCAGAGGTTATAATACCGAGCGGCCAGGGTTTGAACCCAACGAGAACGGGAGCCTTATTTTCGGAGAGAAAGGGAATGGAGTGGCTTTAGTGTTGGAGAGGGAGCTTAAGCGGATGACAGTCTCTCATAGTGTCTCTTTTGGGAATGATATTTATGGTGCGACATCTTAGAGGGGAGATTGGGAGATGGATATACAGGTGGAGGAGATTGAGATGTGGCTTGAGGTGTGATGTAGGTTCCTGTTAAAAGAATGTGGGATATGATCCTTGATAATTGGATACAAGCGGACTGCACATTTCATTCACGGCAAATATATCCTAACGGATAAATAAGACGCTATTTCAACCTCGCCTCAACAACGCCCACCGGCACCCCCTTAGCCCTCCACATCTTAACTAATCTCAACCCCGAAACATCAAGAAGCCTCACCCAATCCTTCTCCGTGCGCTCCACGCCCCCAAAAGTCATCATGTTATGGTCCATCCACGCAATGGGCATCGTCGACCCGACCTCCGGGACGATATACTCCGTAATCAAGACTCGGGATTTCTCGCTGTCCATGGACGCAGCGAGGTTCTGGAGAATTTGGCGGGATTCAGGCTCGTCGGGCCAGTCGTGGAGACAACGCCGGACATAGTATACCAGGGCGCCTTTTTTTTTTTTTGTCATATGGTTAGTAAAAATGTGTAAGTTAATAGAAGACAAGAAGAGACTGGAATGGCATACCTTTAACCGGTTGGGGCTTGAAGAAATCATGCGCCATAGCCTCAATCCCATCCTTTTCCATCTCCTTCCCGTTATCCTCAAGCACACCCGCCTGGTCCTGCAAAATAAACCTCCCCTTAAGCTCGGGTGCGCTCTGCTTAATCTGCCGAAGAATATGGCCGCGACCACCACCCACATCAACAACAGTGACCCCGTCGTTACTGGCTAGACTACCCAATTCCTCCACAAAAGGGTAGAGACCAATGGTCACCAGCGCCGAATCCGCTGCCCGCATCGCGTCGTTGAAGCGGGTAAGTCGCTTCGGGGACTCAGATATGTGCTCGAAGATGGTTTTGCCTTCGCAATCATGGACTAGGGAGTAAGGGTTGTGGCGCACGCCGTATTTGTTTTGCCAGGAGTGTTGCTGGAGGAATTCGTGGTTTCGGAGCATGGCGGGGGAGTATTCGTCCATCCTAGAGGGGTGTTATTAGAAAAATGAATAGTGACCATGAATAGACTTACATGAGGTTATACACTGCCGCCATTTGGGGAACCAAGTAGATTTCCGAAAAGGGGGTGTGGGCATATTCCTCTTCGGCGACTTCACGGAATGGTCCCGATGGGGTGACTGCACGCATGAGTCGTACTGGGACGCGTCAGTAGGAGTACCAGAGTATATTTGACGACCTTGCTTTGTCGAATGAATACATACCTATAATATTCTTGTCCACTCCAGTCTTTGCTGCAATTTCTGTAGCCGAAGCGCTCTTCCCTCCAGTCGGAATGGCATGAAAAATGCCAGCCTCAAGCAGCGTTCGGATTGCTCCCATATTGGTCATCTGACTATTTCGTTAATACGTGATGATAGGGGATGGAAATAAGTGAACAAAACACCCACATTCTCGAATTGTCCAAAAAGCATGTCTGCCGGGCCTCGGATGGTGTGCACTAGGCGAGTTGCTTTAACCAGGAGGTCGCCTCTCGCCTCATAGCTGTCGAGACCTGGTGGTTGCTCTTGATATCTTCTGCTAGCAACGATAAGTTGCTCGAGATCTTGCTGAATAGAATCGGTTACAGGTCCGATACTGCCCATTGTGATGGCCGGTGTCGATCAATGACAAGAAAAACTAACCAAGGCGAAGGAAGGGAGTGAAAAAGATTGTTATGGAAGATGTCTGAGAAGTCGATAAAAAAAGATTTGATCCAGGAGCGCCTTAGGGAAGAGACTGGATTTTACATACATGTATTCAGAGACACAATGCCCTCTAGACAGACAGCATGAACAACACCCACAGTGGGTCTGACAGCGCGCCGATAGGTCACAAAGACCAATTACCGGTCAGGTCATTCGCCAACGCAAGCATGAATCACGAATTTAGTTTCCCGGGATGATGAACATGCATTTCCGAAAGTTTACCTCTACTACTTCTATGTCCGTGCACGGTGTCGATCAAAGTGGCGCCCAGCTGCAGGAAGCTCAGTTATTCTGATTCGAACAGCCCTTGCTTCAGATCTTCAGGACGGGACACCGTACATGGAGCTGTCAGATTGATACTATCTACGCAAAGTCTTAATGGGGTCTCGCGATCGTTCCCAGTGATGTCTCGAGCTAATAATTGGTCCGTCGGCCGTGGTTGATCTTCAGAGGCGTCTGTGCATGTGTGGTATATGAGTATACCCGAAGTAGAGTTGTCCAATTATGCGGGTCCCGGACCACCATCCAACAAGCCGGATCTTCTCTCCATATCTTCCGTACTGTTGGGTTGGTCTGCAGAAGCCAATAGTGACCCGGGAAAGAGGTTTGCCGTGCATTTCCGGATACCACTGGGAAAGTGCTCCTGCGTCTTGCATCCTGTATGTGCGGCATTAATTGTTAAGCGAACTAAGCAAAGAAGGCTAATACAGCCTGGCATGGAGCAATGATTGCCCTATGCAAACCTCGACTGGTCACAGTGTCTACTCGTATGTCACTTCCTGGACGCTCTTCAAGGTGCATACGAGTGAAATGGATTTATCAGATCAAGGAGACCAAGGGCACTGCGGTTCATAGAATACACGCCCTATAAACATGCATATAACTAGGGAGCTACTCTGCGCCATGTCCATCTCCTACCATTACAGAAGCCAAGGCCCCGGTTTTCAGATTCTTTGCAATGGACCCAAGCAAAACCCCAGCGGCACCTCCTCCACCTGGTGTGACGCCCAACTTTACCAATCCATCGGGCTCCGAGTACGAGATTTACTCCATTAGTATCGCCTTGTGTGCAACGGCGAGTCTTGTCTTGCTTGCCCGCTTATATACTCGGGCCTATGTTCTGCGTGTCTTTGGTCTGGATGATGGTACGTCTTTACGAGTCCTTATAGTGAACGGATGTATTGACGTGCGCCCTCAGTCTGTTGTATTCTCGGACAGATTTGCGCATGAATCTTCGCAGCCTTGAGCATTGCCAGTACGTTATCCTCAACTCCATTGCCTACCCGGCAGCTAACGTAATGAATAAGATATCAAAAATGGCTACGGTGTACACATCTGGGACCTGCATCTGGACAATCTCACCCCATTCAAGAAGGTACGTTGTCCCTTTACTTGCCCACCAACCTTGCGAGAGCCTACATCACTAATTTAATAACAACGGTTACAGTACGACATTGCAGAAGAAGATGTCTACGCTCTAGGCGTCTGGTTCGTCAAGACCTCTATCCTACTTTTCTACCTCCGACTCAGCCCCGACAAGCGCTTCCGGCAGATGACCTACGCCATCATGATCTTCGTCGCTGTATACAGTCTCCTCAGTATTCTCCTTTTCACCTTGGGATGTAAACCTGTCGCTGCGACGTGGGATGTCTCCCTTATGAGCGAGGCCAAGTGTATCGACCAGATGGCGTTCGTCTACGCCAATGCTGCATTCAATATATTCTCCGATGTTATCACCTTGATCCTACCGATCAAGCTATGTTGGACTTTGCAGACGAGCTTGAAGCAGAAATTCCTGCTACTGGTTGTATTGACTATGGGTTCCTTGTACGTTTTCTCCCTCAATTAAACCCTTTACGATATTTGTTGCTTTATTAACGTGTTTGGGCTTCTTCAGTGCCTGCGTCGTTGCCATAATCCGAATCGTGACCATGATGCCCTTCATCCACAGCAACGACTTTACATGGTTCAAGGTGACAATTGCAAAATGGTGGTATGTTCTACACTCCTACAGACCATATAGCAATAATACATGTTATTAACAAGCCTTACAAAAGTATGGTCGAAATAAACGTTGGTATAATCTGCGCGTGCCTTCCAATCCTGCGACCCATCATAGTTCAGACCTTCCCACGTCTCTTCAGCAGCTACCACCACGGTGGCAATAATTACACTCCTGCTAGCGACGACAGCTATGGACTGGACTCGTCCAGTAAGAAAAGGAGAGTCATTTCTTGGAACCATCTGACCACGATTGGGAACACTCAATTAACGACTACCAACCGTGGGGGGGACTGTGATTCGGAAAGTGTTCAGGCGATTGTTATGAATAACAAAAATGAACATGAAGCTGAACAGCAAGGTTCTTGCTGATTTCAGTGACATGGGATAGCCTCTTGAACAAGCAAAAGTGTATTAGGAGTCTTCATGTTAGTAATAATAGTAATAATACATACTGGGAGAACGTATCATAGAGCAATCATCTTCCTGTCTCCAATGGGAAGTTTCTCTAACCCACCTCATTAAGGCCCTGCTTTCCACGCCCTATGGTCGTATGTACTAGCTACTTGGCTATGCTATACTAAGATTACAAAACAGGGCTTCAATGACCGCACTATTCATGTATCACCGGTATTGTTACGCAATTTTAGATGGAGACTCTGCTCCATATTGATTTAGGAATGAATGTATCAATAAGATGTGTTTTTGACCATCGATACAAATTTATGGTCGTTGGCGCTGTTGAGCTCGACCACATGTGGCGGGGATGCGATACGATACGAAATCACACTATCACAGTGTTAACTTGACTATATCCTTCCCCATTCTGGGATTTCTGACACTGATCTACTAGACGGATCCACGAGTGGGTGGGTAGGTAAGGTATTGATATTTAACCGGGTGTCGACCCCTCACCAACACGAAGCTGGCGCCATTCCATTACCAATACTCTTCTCACTCATGTCTTCCTTTACACATCTTCCCGGTGAACTGATTCTCAGCATCGCAGATCATCTCGATTATTCCCCGGATATAAACCATCTCTCTCAAACATGCCGTCATTTGTATAATATCCTTAACCCGTACCTCTACGCGCGCAATGTCCACTTTTGGTGTGGGAGAGGACTTTGGCGCGCTGTGGAATTAGGAAGTGAATCCGCAGTCCTCAAGTTGATTGCACACGGGGCCAACAAGGACCAGTGGACCTAGGGCACGCCCGAGAGAAGACAGAGGGAGAAGGAGGAGAGGAGGTGGAATAGAAGGAATGGTGTGGGGTCGAGTAGACTTTTCGTCGATTCGAGCAATTCTTCCTCGTCGTCATCTTCGGATGAATTTTGCTCTCTTCCGTCTCATTCGGAGTCTGGGAATGATGATGGTGAAGAAGAAGAGTCTGAGTCATCGGAGTCGGAGTCGGGATCGGAGAGATGGCAACGCTCAGGACGCACTTATCCCGTGGACGATAGTGACTCTGATGATTCAAAATTAGGGAAATGCACTTTCATGGGTAATTTGAAGAGACAGCGAAGAATGGCAGCCCGGTACTCAAAACCACCTCCAAACGACCAGTTACTATACACAAATGAACCTCGAACACCATTGTACGTAAGGTACTAGACTAGATGATATTTTAGGGCTGATCTCTCAGTCTGCTTTGCAACATTTACTATCTACTTTTCCACCCTAAGACAGTCTCTCCGACCAAAGTCAAAGGGGACCGTTGGGGATTCCCCAGATTCCCCAGATTCCCCATACCCCAATCTCTTCGAGGGCTCGTGCGCTGGACGCCTAAGTGGTGACCGACAACAGAAGCGTAGACCACATACATGATGCTTAGTGTCCACCTGAACTATGGATCAGCTCTCTGCACAGGCGGACTCTATCGTCATTCGTATTCTGAAGAAAGAAGCTTCCAGTAGCACTGTTCCAGTACACGAGTACAGTGAGCTGCAGCTTTTGAAAAAAAAAAAAAAAAAAAAAAAAAACCCAGATTATTAACTTGATTGTTATGGGCGGATCCAGTTTCTGGACCATGGCTATAGATCCCCGAAAAGTCCCCGGACTGTATTTTATACTAACATCATGATGTTTTTCGGAGATACGAGTCGGGAGAATTGAGCATCCAAAAGTCTCCGAGTTATTTGCCTGCTCTTGCTTGTAATTCGCTATAAAGGATACGTCCATCGTAAGTAACTGTAGTCTCAGATCAACCATTTGAGAAAAGAAAGACTCTTATTCATTATATTCAATCATGTCTATCCCCCAAACCACAACCGCCTGGAATGTGTACGGATCCGGCCCTGGCGCTGGGACCAGTGCCCTACAACTGAACAATAACCAGAAAGTGCCTCAATTGAGCCCCGAGGACGTCCTGGCGAAGCTCCGTGCCGGCTCGCTGAACTACCGTGACCTTGTCAGTATGTTGAGCCCCTAAGCAATTATCATGGTTTCGAAACGCTAACATCACTTCAGTCTGCAAGGGCACATATCCTCGCGTCGTTGAGGATGGCGTTGTCCCCGGTAGCGATGGATCCGGCGTCTCAAGATTCAAGAAAGGAGGCTGGGTCATAACGGCCTTTTATCAGAATTTCTTCGGCAGGCCGGCTCCCACCGATGCCAATTTTGAGAAAGCCTTGGGTGGCTCGGCGGACGGCACGTTCCGCGAATTCGGCGTCTTCGACAAACAGGGTCTCCTGCCCATGCCGCGCAACCTTAGCGTCTCGAGGGATCGACTCTCTCATGTGCCGCCCTTACAGCATGGAACAGTCTCAACGGTCTCCAAACCCTCCACGCAGGAGACTGCGTCCTTACCCAGGGTACCGGTGGTATCTCTATCTTCGCCTTGCAATTCGCCGTGGCCACAGGTGCCACGGTCATCGCGACTACATCCTCCGACACCAAAGCCAAGAAGCTAAAGGAACTTGGCGCACACCACGTCATCAACTACTGCTTAGAGCCCAACTGGGGAGCCAAGGCCAAGGAGCTCTCCCCCCCAGGGCCTCGGCTGCAACCGCGTCATTGAAGTCGGTGGTCCCAGCACCATCAAGCAATCGTTGGAGGCTATTGTGCCTGGTGGTCACATTGCTGTTATTGAGTTCTTGACGGGGATGGAGAAGTGTGAGGGTCATCCGTCGTTCTTGGAGCTGTTTTCTCGTATGTGTGTTGTGCGTGGTATTGAGGTTGGGAGTCGGACTCATTTCGAGGAGATGATCCGTGCTATTAAGGTGAATAATATTCATCCGGTTCTTGATTATACGGTCTTCCCTCTGCAGCAGCTGCAGGCGATTTTCCAGTATCAGTATGAGCAGAAGCACTTTGGGAAGTTTGTGGCTAGCATTCCGTCAATTCAATAGTTTTGTCTGGCATCTGGTACTGTTACATAATACTACGTGAAAAGTCCATGTACAGTGGAAGCGGTTACTATATGTACTAGCGAAAATAAGATTCCTTGTTTACTAGAAGGTACACCAATCAGAACATAGCACTAGCCGAGCATGTAGACTCATGCTATCCAACAGCCAAAATAGGAGCTCGGGGTACATTGCCAACAAAGCATAGCGTGCGCTCCATGAAATAAATGTCTTCTTGCTGTTTTCACTTTCTTTTCACCCAGTCCCTGCTTCATGGAAATGGTCCTGTACCTTTCCATTGCTTTCGTGAGTACAAGCGAAGCGGGCTCCCAAGAGTCTTCCAATGTTTCACCAGCATCAGCGCTTCTTTGAATGACAATGCAGTTGTCACGACTGTTTTGGTGCTCGCCAAGTCAAGCAACCATGCCATATTCGAGTCAGATGCGCTTTAGTGTCATGTCCTCCCATTTCCATCCAGAAGAGAGTGTATCGTGGCAAATCTGTAGACCCCAGCGGTCAGCGCAACTTGTGTGCTCTCTCAATGAAGCTCGCATTGATTCGGTGCGACAGATTTGGTGTTTATGTTCATTTTGCCGTCAATATGTTGTGGGTCTCGCTTCATTAGAAAAGGGCTGTCATCGCAGACCACTTCGGTTGTAGTGGAGGGTAAAAGCACGTTGCACAACTCCGCGTGAGTCCTGTACAAGATACACATTTAGACCTGTGGATAATTAGCATTGTTCTCATGTAAAAGGGCTGAATACATACTCTAGGGTCCTCTCGTTGTCAGTGACGCCCACGTAGACTATTATATGGGCGTCCCTTTCTCTCCTTTTTTTCAAAATCATATCCTTCCTCTGTCGTGGTGTTTGCAGTATCGTGTCGTGACTCCTGTCCAGTTTTGTACGGTTTAAAATGGACGTTGAAGCCCTTAGCCTAACCCAGGGAGCACACCAGCGAAGCCATTAAGCGGTTGGGGTCTCCAAATGGTAATCCCGTCTATATTTGCTTGGCTTGGGGACTGTTGTCAGTAATTTCACCTGAATAGTCGTCGGTGACTGGCAAAACTTTCTGGGAGCGTCAACTCGCAAGATGGTCGTCCACCGTTTCGGTTTTCACTGCGGGTGGTCTAGCTCTCTGGGGCAAAATAAAGAATTAGCAGATCTAAAATATAAACTAGGTAATTACGAAGCAAACTTACTTCAGGCTCTTGTACGATTTAGGATTTCGGACATTTTGTCGAAGTAACCCTCATTTTGAATGAAACAAGCCCTTGCTATGAGGCTATAGTTGAGAGATACTCTAGTGCATCTAAACTATATTGTTTTGTTTATTGATAGAGTTGTCATTAAAGATGCCATTCATCTAGACACCAGCGTTGGATATATTGATAGGTCGGTCGAAAGGTGCAGTGGCCCGTCCCAAAGTAATGGAGGTCTTTTCTGCCTACGGCCAGTAGTGAATGTCTTGATGCCATCCACCGGATGATGCGTCTCTAAAACCACTCTCGAGTTCAGTTCTTTGGGAAGCTCTTATGAGGGCCCGACATACAACGCGATTTCGAAGATAAAAGGAAATCTGCGTTCGCTGAGAGGTGACATGCTTATCGAGTATTACACGAACTATTGTGGAAAACAGAGGACCTGAAGCCCCTCGCCCTGTGCTCTCCGGGCCTCCCTATTCGCCTCGATTGGCCAAAAATGCAAGCGAGCGTCAGGTCCTAGCTCTTACTGCCCCCAGAACGCACAAAGAGGAGTACCTCTGAATGCAGAAAAAAGATATGGCAATAAACTGGATACACGTAGCAACGACACTAACGTTTACCGTCCCTGCAGTCCATCCGCATACAGTAGTAATCATCGGTAAATAGTATTCCTTATACAACCATAAAATAAAATAAATGAAATATAGGGTCCGAATCCTCATGAACAGTGCTGAAGCTTACTAGTATTCCAGCTCCTACCGATGATCTACATGGGTGGCTACCTGCCATACATATTCCATTCCAAATCCTGGCCGGGCTCGGGGTTGGTTTAGTTTAGTCGATCTACAAGTATTTGGGTTTGAAAGAGGCAAAAAAAGCCAGCACATTATCAGTAACTATATGCACAGCTACTTCTATGCACGGGGTGCTAGCGTAGGAGTGCTAGCTAGGTAATTAGAGGATGGATAGGGTATGGTCCGAACATTCCGAGGAAATAACATGCATCTAGCCAGTCAGCCATGATCAGATAGATAGGATTTGGTTTCATGCTATTATTCGTGCATAGGGTGGAGTATGGTGGCGAGCAATCACTAGATATTCCAGCGTCGCAGTGTGTGCCAGCATACTATGTATACCACCGAGCTACTCCGAATATTGTAGAATAGTGCTCCATCCAGTTTTAAATAGTCATCGCCGGCGTATAGATCATCTCAACGGAGTACTCCGTACAGAGTAAATAGTAGAACTGGCCCACGGATCCATAACGGTATTCCAAATCTTTAACTCTGCGTAAAAAATACTTCCGGAAGTAACGACTCGCCAACGAGGTGCGAGTAGGGTCGGTGAGTTATGATGAACAGTGCGTCTGAACGTGTCTCACGAAATCAGAAACTTTGTTAAATTAAAAAAAAAATAAAAAATAAAAAAAAATAAACAAATAAATAAAAAGTAACTTGATAAGGTTACTATCGCCGTACAGAGTACGGCATAGAGTACAGAGTACGGCAGATACGTACGGAGCGCAAGTGTTGCATCCACCCTGCGTACTCTGTCGAACAGACTTAAAAAGGAAAGAAAAGTGTGTTCCGGTGGGGTCAGAGCAAAAGCAAAGCCGATCTGTTTGAGGATGGCTGCGTTTGACGGCGATTAACCAACGGTATCGTTCTTATATTTGAAATTGGTGAAATTGGACCAAGCGACGACCTGTCAAATTCCCAACGATTATCATTGCCTTTTGCTGGAGAACAGAACGCGGTGTGTATGGAGCACGGTGGCTGGTTGAAACCGTAAGATCGGAGTCGCCGGGTGGTTAGTGAAGAGCAATCTAATCCGTACGCCGTGCTCATACCGGCTCAAAGTCACCCGAGATCTTTCGAAACACATGGCGATAGTGTGGTTATCAGAACTGATTGTTCAAGTATCTATGTTGGTTCCTTGTTTGTTTGTTCCTGCGACTGTGATTGCAGATTCCGCTGCACTCGGTGGCTCCACAACGGGAAATAAATTAAGATGTCGAGCCCACTTCGGTTAGCCTGACGGGGTTGTCAAACTTTGTTTCTACAGAGTATCCATCTGCCGGTAAAGAGAGCAGAGAACAAGGCAACACGGATTCACTCCGTACTCCGTACAGACCCCATAACCTCACAAGAAGCCGAAATTGCAAACTCAACGAGCAATATGGCAATGTCTTTTCCCCGAAAAAGGTCCGTGAGAGCTAAAACCTGGCGCGGAACCCACAAAATGTTAGAGATCATAAAGCCAAGAAGTGAAAGGTCGATTGATCAACTGCTGGTGGTGGGGCGAGAAGCAGAATCATCCCAGACAGAAGACGAGAATGCAATTTCACCGCCCGCCCACCTTGACGGATATGGAATCTTGCAGATAGCCGAAGTGTCGCATTCAGTGGGAGGGGAAAGGTTCGTCAAAAAAATATGTTGTTGGATTTCTGGAAAACCCGACTACAGTTCCGGTCCATGCAAGAGTAGCCAGGGTTCACCCAATGACATGATACCCGATCGTCAAAGCATTGTCCCAACGGAGAGCCAGGACCAATCCGGGGGGTCTCTCTTGTAACTTCCTGGTGATCTGTGAGTTTTAGATATTAGAAATTCAAATTTGGTCTTTAGGGGAAGGCCAAAACGGAAAATTATTATCAATCGCGATGGTAGTCAGCTCAGAAAAGCAACTATATGGTACTCTGGAATAACCGTACATGGTACGGAGTATGTCCAAGGTGATTAACTTTGGTGGTCAAAAAACGTAGCGTCCTTTTCTGCGGGGTTTTCTTCTGCATTAAAACAATAGTGTATTGTTAGGTTAATGTTGATTGTTGCGAGCATATTGTCGTATATTGCTCGGTAGGCAAGTCCCAGCAGTTTGAGTGCTCAGGTCGCATTCATGTCCGTGTCGGGTTAATCTCAGCTCTTCGTCCTGCGTAGTATTCCCTTTCCGGACGCAAGCAGATCCAGGCTTGAACCGACGACAGGGGCTGCATCGTGGTGGGTAATTCCGCACTGACCAATCGCGGATGCCGTTTCAGACGGAGAGTTGATTCATGACAAAACCAAGGTTAACTGCATGGTGGGATGTACCGGAACTGTGTGTATGGACTGATAAGAGGCCTCCGTATACATACTCTTATGGCATAAGTAGCACAGGGGCCACTGGTTCGCCGCAGACATGACCTATCGCCGAGGATTATTATATGTCACCCGACACAATTTGATGGATGCGAGGTGTGATAATTGATTGTGATGGGGTAGATCGACGTTCTCCATGACGCTGGGATGGATCGTTTTGACTGGGTCGACTGACAGACCAAGAGCCTATCACAAATCAACGTTTCTTTTTCGCCGTCTCCCCCTGCACCGCCGTTCCAAAATGGGCGGTTCTCTATTTAATGTTTGACATATTGTGGGCAGGGCCTTTTTGGAATACGTGTGTCCCGTATTTTCTCGTGCAGGAGGCAGACCTTGTGATGAGCGCTTCTCATTAGCTGAATGCAGCTGCTCGTCATACTCATCCAACGGGAACTTCCGAGTCATCAAACGAGCTTCTGTCGGTGACATGACAGGTTTGTTTGTGGTAGTTGATGCGTGATCGATATGGATAGATTGAGTACCATCGAGACAGCCTCTGTGCAAGTCCTGGTTGTAATAGATCGAAGCTAGAGTGAAGATCTCCCGACTCACCCTTGTGGAATAAGGCCGTCTCGAACTGGTCGTTCTCCTTTTGCGAATATAAATACCACGACCCCGTAGATGTCTCGTCGATTAAGCTCATCAATCTGAAGAGGTGCGACAGTATTGCGAACCCTCCATACTCGATCATCCACTCTCTGGCCAATCCAACTGCTTTCAATTATTCCGTTCAGCCTCTTCGAGTCAGGTTCCGACATCTTGATTCGTTCCTCTTCACTCATCCTCAAACACCCGTTAATAAACCCACAACCATCATAATGCCGGTAAGTACATGGCAATAATACCGATCGTCCCGAGCCGTGTTAACCCTGCAACCCAGATGCCCGGTGTCCGTTGCCCGAGCTGCCAAACCGGTGGCAAAGAAATCTGGGTGATCCCAGGGAAGAACTGCCATGTTTGCGGGACGGCATGTTGAAACGACCGAACTAGGTATTTTCACCGATTCGAAGAGCAAGTGAACCTGAAGCTAATACCCGAGAAGTCAGCTTTCTTTCGAGCAACGTCACTTGATCTGAGGATATTGATCATTCACGATCTCAAACACAAAACCACCTGCTTCACGGCAGGCCATATACACGAATCTCGGCTTCTTCTCGACTGTTTCTTTTCTGTTCTGCAAATGAAAGGCGCACATGGCTCTGGAAAATGGGAATGGATTGGGAAAAACAGGCTTGAGGCGCTGGTGGTTCTTTGCACTCCGGAAAGATGAAGAAAGGACCCTTCCTCTGCCTGGTCCCAGGGCACATCCTCGATCTCGAATCTTGATCAGGAAGAATAGGACACAGGAGGATCCGACAAGGGACCCGAGGGATGAAGATGATAATGGCGACCGGTAAGAAACATCGGCACTGTGGTAATATACACTCTGAGAGTGATAGTAATAGTCGAATACGACGATTAATCAAAGACCAACTTGAGGCTCTGTGTAGGTCTTCCTAATCGGGAAGGCACGTGCTCTGCTACTCACCTAAGCTCAACGCGACCTTTGATCTCCGTTCTAAACAGATCTCCCACCTCTCCAGTTCTCCAACAAAACCATATATTCTCTACTCTGAATCCTGCCAATATTTTCAAACTTTAGCCTGTGATTGGCCAATAGCACATCTACGCGATTACTAATTCATCGACGTCATCGTTCTTCTCCACGCGATATCTTGCTGACAAACACCCTGTTCTAAGTCTGAATACAGACCGAGTGGATACAGACAGAAGGAGCAGTATATACAAGCTGACATTTGATTGCCATCCGCACAGAGAGCGCAAAATGACTGACACATACCCCATTGGAACCCGTGACGAGTGCGAACGTCTAGTTCGTCAATGGGGATTCCAGCACGTCTTTACCTGGTCTGACGGAAGGTATGTCACCTTTTACTCTCGCTATAACAAACCCATGCTAATACAAGAATGTCCAGCAACGCTTACTACTCCCCTCACACCCACGGCGACGTAACGACACACCTTGTCCGTCACGGTACGTTCACCGTCAACTATCCAGAAGACAATGCCAATGGGGAAATGAGAAAGGAGACATTCGGACCCGGAGCTAGGATCGATGTATCGGCTGGGAAACTACATGAAGTTTGGATTGGACCGGAGGGATGTGAGTATGTGATTGGAGAGTAGGATGTTTGACACCCTGGTGGTATCACGATGAAATGATTGCATTTGGAATATCCAAGCATACTGGATATCTCTGGTATTAATTGTCTCTCTTGTGCTTTTAATTGTTATCTATATATAACTGCCGCCCTGCAACACCGATCCAAGCCAGCTGGATCTTCGTTTTTTGTTTTTCTTTTGGTCTTTTGGATTGCTCTAATGAGAAAACCGGAAGTCGAGCCGCTTGTTTCCAGCATCTGGGTTCGCCAGCAGATATGCCTTTCTCTCTTCACTCGACATGGCATTCCATTTGGTCTCGTTGCTTCTGCAATACTGGTCAGTACTTGGAGTCTTGCTAGCAAGGCTCTCAGGGTTACTAACTTGTTACGCCAGACATAATAGTACTTGGCAAAGACAAACAGGAATGCGCTGAATGCAGCAATCGCAATAAGGACCTTGTTACCCCTGCGATATAACGGCTTATCGTCGTCGCGATAGATCTGCCACCAATTAGCATTTCGCCTGTCCCCTACTGCGAGTGGGGAAGCTTACGTTGTTGGAAATGATGCTTGACGCCTGAACAGTCATGTTATACATAGCCGTTGCGACTGTTCGTGTCCGGACGGATCCTGCATTTCTTGATGCGATGGCGACAATGATAGCGTGTACATACGGCGCACCAATCAGAAGAATCAAGTCCACCCATCGACCCCAAGTGTTGGCATCAGCAGGGAGAACCTCGAGGGTGATCAACAACGCCAAACACCACACTTCACAGACAACACCCAGAAGCATGCGCTGGTTGAATCGCTCCGAAATCCATGTAATAACCAGCAGATTGACGATGAATATAACGTATGCCGGGATGGTAAGCAAGTTCGTCTCGAACGTTCCGAAACCGAGACTCTTGAGCTGCAAGGTAATATAGTTGGTTGCGGGCGTGTTGGGAATGCCCCAAATGAAACCAAGTGCATAAATCGGCCAAAGGTCATAGTCGCAAAGTGCACGCCAAAGCATCTTAGGCGTCAAGGCTTGTCGGTTGTGCATGCTTCCCTTACTGGGGTCGTCGCGGAGGACACGGTTGACCATAATCTTTTCCTCGCGCTCGTTGAACCAGCCATCCTTTCCGCGGAAGCCACCCTTTGTCTGTGTCGGTCCTGCGGGCATCCAGAACATGGCGACGATTCCAATGAGACCGGTGAGCAGGCCTTCGAAAGCAAACAGGTATCGCCATCCGCCGGTGCCGTCGCTCTGTCGAACATGCAGGAATCCAAAGGCGAGGAATGCACCGACAATGGATGTTCCCTGGTAGGAAACCCAGAAGTAACTCAGTCGGATTGGCAGCTCTCTGGACTTGTACCAGAAAGAGAGGAACAAGATCGTGTCGGGGATACTGGAAGTCAAAGTCAGCAAAGCTACTGGCATGACTGGTAGTGCAAGTTCACTCACAATCCACCCTCAATCAGACCCAGAAGAGCGCGACAGATGAAATAACCGGTTCGATTCTTGATGAATGCCTGGAAAGCAGCGATAAAACTCCACATGACCATTTGGATCGGAATCCAGCGATCCGGTCCGAACTTCTTGGACAACAATTGCGACGGCAACTCTGCGAAAAGGAAAACGAGGAAGAAGATTGTTTGGCCGGTGTTATAGTCGTTGGTGTTCATGCCCAAGTCCTCGAGCATGTTATCCGACATCGCCTGGACGATGTTTCCTCGATCAAGCTGGAGCGCGAAGAAAGTAACGCATGCGAAAGTACAAACTCGGATGTCGATCTATTTCCATCAGCATCGGGTGCGCATCATCGAACAAAAGAGGGTCATACCTTCCGAATGAGACTCTTCTCTTCGTCTTCTCCCCATTGGAAGTAAGGATCCCATCGGTGTATCCCTTCGTATGTCGAAATGGGTCTGTAGATTTCCGGACTCTCGGTGGTATCGAATGCGCAGTCGTCAGGAACCTTTCCCTGTCCAAGTCCCAGTCGCTCCTCGTCCGACAAAGACGTCGAGGATGCTGTGACTGTCGCATCGTGAGGAGACTTCGAGTCATAGGACTCCTGACCTGTCGCAGGCGTCTTTGCGTCCTCGGTGGCCATTTTGAATAAAGCCTTGGCTCTGGCGAAACTGGTTGTGTTACTCGAGGAAACATCAAAGTCAAGGGAACTGCAGCTTATAAGAGCTGCACGACAGACATCTCGCACGGTCAAGGAAAAAGAAAAACTCCCATCACGCAATATCTAGGCAAGACCGATGGATTCATCTGTCAAGCGCACTACATACCCAGGTGGATAACTGTCACCTCGTGGTTTTTTCTATCTTGGAACGCAACAACCCGATTGAGCTTGTTCCAGGCCCCGATAAACTCGACCGTTCGTACACCTAACACTCCTTTGTCCACAAAATAACCCGGATACTCACCCCAGAGTACGCAGCCTCGGTCAGATCCAATTGCGGCAGCCAGAATCCAAATCACGCAAATCAGCGGCAACTAACGTCATAGCAGGCAAGTAGGATTAAGCTCACGGGACAGGGATGTTTTTATCTTTCTCCATCGGGATCTATTTAAAAAAAAAAAATGCAGCCTTGTCAAATGGTGTGGCAGCGGAGTCTTTCCGTAGTGTTGGTTTCATCGTTTGCGGGCATGATCACAACATCGGCTGTCGTGTTTATTGGTGCTGCCAACATTAAACACTTTATACAAGCGTGTTTTAGGGGTTTTAGGTCGTATTCTTTTTTTCCTTATCAAAAGGAGTCTAATTGAGTCTCGTATAATGTACGCCGTATCCCTGTCGCTCGTAGTCGTTGCGCGAATGCTGAATGTTATCACGCCATAGTTCTCCCCGTCTATGTACTTTTGTACTGAAACAATTTGCCGACGGCGCTATATATGAATATAATTACAAGTATGTCTATCGAATCTCTTTTTAATTGATATGTTATTTCTCCAAGTCTTCATTGTGGTATGCTGGGGAAAGGCACCGTAGTCGACTTGAACATATACATCCACTGATGTAGCGGTCTCACCGGGTTATACCATACAAACTCGTTTCACAATCCCAATACAGATGGACTCTATGACGATAGTCATACACCATAGCCCAACCCTCACACGACATACCCAGCACCTTCAAGTAGTAACAAATAACAACAATCTCACTCAATCCACCCTGAATCGCAACCTTCGCTTCGCACTCTATCCGCGAATAACGCCACCGTCACGCAATGTCAAAGGAATATAACGAGCATCCCGTCGGCAGTATACTCAATCATAGCATACAAACCTCCCCCCCCCCCCCAGAATAGCCATTTGCATAGAAGATTACCCACGAAACCCCGCGGCGGCACTAAGCGATGTACATACTTCTGCACAAGTGTGGTATGTGCATGGGTGTGGACGGATATATCGGATGAGGTCTGGCTCGGCTATGTTTGACACTCTGTTGCACGGGTATGAGTCTGGTAGCCGGATTATGTAGGATGTACAGTACTCTGGATAATACGTACCCCGCAGGAATTGCGCAAGCGAGGGTCGTGGATGCGAAATGGCGGGCGTTTTGCATTGTCTGGTAGTATATCAGGGCTGATGTCCCCGAGTACTAGATTCGATTCAAATCAGATCAAGCAAGTTGAATCATTAGCACCATCAAAATGGCACCCGCACCCGTTGAAAGCCTTCCTCTCCGTTCAACACCTATTGCCCAGCTCAAGCACGACGCGGGCACCAACAAGGAGAATATCATCGGATACAAGTCTGCCTATGTCCACGAGAACGAGATCAAGGGAACGGGCAAGCAGCCTCCTGCGTCGTTCGCTAACTACCTTCCCGTCTGGGATAATGAGACGGAGAGGTGAGTGTCCTCGTTCACGCTGATACTGAAAGGGCTCATGCTGATGAATTAGATACGCTCCTCTTGAACCCTTCGAGCACTATGACCACGGCAAAGATGCGGACCCGTCCTTGCGTGACCTCTTCCCTGAGGGCAAGGCACAACTCGATGAAATCACCCCTGAGATTGGAAGTGAGGTGCACGGCGTGCAGCTGAGCCAGCTCACCAAGGAGGCTAAGGACCAGTTGGCTCTCTATGTTGCCCAGCGCAAGATTGTCGGTGCGTCACCTACCCTTCCCCTTTCACCCTTAAGAAGACACAACTAATAAGTGCTCAGCCTTCCGCGACCAAGATTTCGCTCACCTCCCCATCAACGAAGCCCTCGACTTCGGCGGCTACTTCGGCCGCCACCACATCCACCAAACCTCCGGTGCCCCCAAAGGCCACCCCGAAGTCCACCTCGTCTTCCGCGGCGCCGACGACCGCAACCGCTCCCAGTTCCTCGAAACCCGCACCAACACCGTCACCTGGCACTCCGACGTGACCTTTGAGAAGCAGCCCCCGGGCACAACCTTCCTGTACATCCTTGATGGCCCGACGAGCGGTGGTGACACGCTGTTTGCGAATATGGCGCTTGCGTATAGGCGTTTGTCGCCGGAGTTTCAGAAGAGGTTGCATGGGTTGAGGGCTGTGCATTCGGGGATTGAGCAGGTGAATGCTAGTTTGTCGAGGGGGGGTATTGCGAGGAGGGATCCGATTACGAGCGAGCATCCGATTGTGAGGACACATCCGGTTACGGGGGAGAAGGCGCTTTATGTTAATCCGCAATGTGAGTCCATCCCTTCTTTTCTTCGGGATATTGAAGGCAATTCTAACGAGATAGTCACCCGTTACATCGTCGGCTACAAGAAAGAGGAATCCGACTTCCTCCTCAAGTTCCTCTACGACCACATCGCCCTCTCGCAGGACTTGCAGTGCCGTGTCCGCTGGAGGCCTGGAACTGTGGTCGTCTGGGATGTAAGCCACCCCTATCCCCTGAACCTGACCAAAACAATTATTCTGACAATCATAGAACCGTGTTACCGCCCACTCGGCCCTGTTCGACTGGGAAGATGGTCAGAGACGCCATATTGCCAGAATCACCCCGCAGGCGGAGGCGCCGTACGAGACGCCTTTTGAGCAGTAGATTGCTTGTGATAGCATGTTTATTTGATGAAATAATGCATTGAATGATTCGCCATCTGCCAGTTTAAGCCATGCGTAGTAAAACACAGTAGACCCAAAATAATAACACGCCATACCTTGACTACTCACATCACCCTGAACCAATGAGAAGTAGCCCATTCCAACGCGTATGGAACTATTAACTCTCACTCCTCTTCCCAAACCAAGAATCAACCCTAATCACCGAACGAGAACGCGGACGCCCAGATGGTGCCCCATGCGTTGGTCGTTGTGACTCCACGTCGATATTCTCAATGTGATAGGATTGTGCTTCATTATCGAGTTCTCCGTCGTCTTTTTCCGGTGCGTTCTCAGTGGGAACGGTGGATATGTCTTCGAGATGTTCCCATGTGACAACGTCGTCGTCGTCATGGCCACTGCGAAAGATGGTTGGTTTCGTGGGTGCCATTGTGTTCAAATTTAGCTTGGATCCGAGTGGGTTGATCTGGTGGAAAGGTGCATGTTAGCTCAGGCGTGTTTATGCATGTAATCAATAGATCGAGCTTACCACTGCAGCGTGGATCGTGGTAATAAGGGTTACCCTTCGATTTGATCAAAACTCAATCATAAGGGAGATGAATGAATCCAAAGAGCGAGCAAAGTCGAAGAAGCGGTGATAAGATCCCCGAAAAAGCAATCCCCTGCCCTTGCGTAACCACAGCCTTCTCCCTCTCCCTTATCATTGTACATCACACAACATCCATGCCATACCACGCCCAAACCCCCACCAATCCAAGCACCACTCAATTTGTATTCAGACGTTCAAATCTCTCCAAAATCCCAACCCTCCACTCCCGAAACCCCCTTGCAGAAACCGGTAATATCGCATTCCGTTCCCCCAGCGTCTGATAAACACTCTTATAGATTTCACTCGGTAACTCAAGTTCCTCAAGCGATAACGATGACGGTTTCCCGTTTTCAGGGCTGAGCAGGTCTTCGGTATTGGAGGTTTCTTGGTAGAGGATTTTCATGCCGCGGCGGGCGGTTGTGGTGTTGCTTTTTGTGGTGCTGGTGGTGGAGTAGCGGAGGTCGGGGTTGAAGACCCATAGCTGGTGGTTTCATCTGTTAGTTCTTTTGGTCTTTTTGGGCAGGTGAGACATAGGGCAGGGTAGGGTAGGGGCGTACGAGAAGGCCACCTTTCCCGCCGGTGTGGACGACGAAGCGGCGGGCACTTTCTCGCTCGACGAGTTCGAGGAGTTGTGCTGCTACCACTGTTTCTGTGGGGTGGGTTTGCCATGTTCCTTTTTCTTCGGTTGTGTCTTCTTCAGGCTTGGTCGGGGTGTACGCGGACAAGGCTGCTTTGAGGAGTCGCCAGCCGTTGGCTATCGGGTCTTCCAGGGCTATCAGGGCGTTGCATTGTGTGCAGGTTATACTCGTTGTCTTAGATATCTCGTTTTGGATCTAGTACGAGGTAACGAGTCAGCATGCTTGATTGGGTACTTGGAGTTATTGCAGAGTTAAAATAAATGATGGTTTGTATTGCAGAATACAGCAAGCTAATCTACAGACTACGCTTCATGTACCTCAGGTAATCGCGTCAATCCCACCACTCTAGGAAAGTCAATGACCGAAATTGACGGAGAAAGTCGAGGCTCCTGCATGAGGTTCAGCAGCCATGGTTACTCGTGGTAGGATAAAGACGAAATCCATCTCGTAGAGGATAACTGCCCTTGTCTTGCCTTAAGCCACCATAGCTCCAGATACCTCATGCTCGAGAGGTTAGTATAGGGCAATTGTATCGGAGACCAATCCATGGAATGAACAGGCCTCCTTCTTGTTGCCCAGTCGTGCGTATACATAGATGCAGAATAGAACAAGAAAAAAACACAAGGTAGAGCAGTGAGGATCCTCTTACCTTTAATCCCCTACAATCCCCCTCAGCGACCAAAAACGTCGCCACGTCAACAAGCCCTGTCCTTGAACTCGCCACGACCTGATTGGCAGCTCCATAGCCTTTAACCTGCGAGTTTCGCTCCTCAATCGACACCGTATGATCGCCATGATCATGGTCGTGAGTATCCGGCTTGTGACAATGCCAGAAATCCATCATCTCCGCCCAATTCCCACTAGGCAGGTCTTTCCACACCCACCCGCTACCAGTATTACCAGGTGCAGGCGTAGGCGAACAATCCAAAACCACATTTCCGCACCCCCGACACCCTAGCCGAGTATATGAGCCCATATCACCAGCCATCCAGGGAACGTATTCCTCGTTCGTGACTTCATCCTCAGGACGTAGTAACCCGCCGCCTGTATCATCGGGATCGATCTGCATTCTGAACGATAATTCCCTTTCTTCCCGGTTCCCACTCCCTGGCCCTGGTCCTGATCCTGATCCTCCCTTCTCACGAGTCCCATTCCCAGCTCCAGTATGTTGCCCCTCCAAAACGCGCCGGGCCGCATCATTCACGCGCGCGGGGAGCTTGATCGTCTCCGATACATCGTCATATGGTTCTGGGAGGGAAACTGTCACTGCGCGACGGGACTCGGAGAGGGAGATGATCGGGTCGAGGTTCGTGGGGAGGGAGATGTAGAGGGTTGTTTGGCGGATGTTGGGGAGGAATTCGGCGTGGAGGGTTAAAGTGAGTTGGGTTTCTGTATTTGAAGACACCATTTTGTCTTCTGTGGAAGATTGGATTTTGGGGATTGATGATTTAGCAGTGCTGTGCGTTAGTACATGATTTTGCTCTGCTCTGAGTTGCTGGCGATGGTGTTGTTTTGGCTTTGGTACGGTGAACACAGCTTCTATAGTCACATGATGCCAAGACATCAAATCGTACGCGTTTTTGCAATCGAAGACCCAGTTTAGACGTGAAGGTCAAGAGCCGCTGGCATTCTTTTGTTATTTAAATTGCATATAAATGTCTCGTTGCTCGTGGTTTACCGGTTTACCGGTTTACCATTAGTCTTAATGGCTATGGACCAGGCACATGCAAGATATATATCCACCGCTGCTCTGCGTCAGGCCAGATTGCGGAGAGAAAACAACCAGAATGACTTGGGAGAATTTCTAATAAGAGTGACAAAGCACTCTTATATAACTATCTGCTTCAATACAGAGCAAAGACAACACTATGAATACAATAATTATCCCAATGGCCAGTCAAGTGAAAGCATGACCACCGACTTCTAACCTCGGCTCGGAAGTGGCAGAATAGCGCGGGCGGTGGTCCCCAGTCGCGCCCCCGAAGAGCAATAGTTGATCTTCCCCGGCTTTCCTCCAGCCAGCTGAATTCCCTCGGCCGATTGTTTTGTCTTTTCTGGTCGGTGAGTTTCTGAGCTGATTTGAGTACACCGTGGTTACTTGCACAGCTCCATTCGTGACATGAAGTCCTGAGTCCTTGTCTTCACTTCATCCGCGCCCCCTCAAAACATACCATTAACCGACCGACCACCGACCATGGACTTCGAGCACTACGGTGGACAGAGCGCAGACCAGCCCAAGCGACAACGGCGACGACGACCTAATGCGGCCAGAAGGCTGTTGCGCAATAAGGCGCCTATCTCGGCTCGTCTAACGCTGGATCCCCAGTTGCGTGGAAACGTCGGGATTGTTTCCGACGATCTGGTTAATGATCTGTTTCAGTACCGGGAAGTGAAAGGTGAGCTGCATGTTTTCTTATTTGAATGATTGAGGCTGATAATCGATTTCATGCTTAGATGGCGAAGTCCTCTACGTCGCAGTCTCCCCGTATACCCCGAGCCACAATTCCGTGGAGGAGCTAGCCTGGACCATACTTCCGGTTCAAGTACATCCAAGAGAATCATCCTATACCGCGCCTATTTCGCACTCAACCGTCGTTTTCCCCGATTCCGCCGAGTCGTTGCAGCCGTTCCTCCAGGCCCAGAGCAGACTGGATCCTACGCGTCACTCGGTTCAAACACAGCGGGTAATCGAGATTCGGGTGCTAGATGTCGTGCCGCTACAGCTAGATACGGTGTACGTGACGGTGGAGCGGAACCTCGTTCGGAACCACGATGACGTGCAGAACAAGTTTGGTGGCGGATTCTCGCCCAGCATTCATGGACCGAATGGATTGTGGGCCAAGGCGGCGAAGGGTAGCGAGGTGAAACGATACTCGAAGAAGGCGGCGGCTGAAGCTGAGGAGCGACTCACAGCTGCGGTGCGTGAAGCTCTTGGTGCGCAAAAGGTGGTGCACGCTGGTGCTGTGCTGCCGCTCCCGCTGCCACCGCATCCGATCACCTATGCGCCACCACCTCCCGTGCACATTTCGTTCTGCGAACCCGTGTCGCAGGGTGTTCTGGTGCCAGAAACCAAGATTGTGCTTGTACAGGCGCGGTCGCATGGAACCCGATCGCAGAAGAGCTTGTCGTCAACCTCGAGCCTCAAACAGGTCACAGAAGATGAGGCGGATGACACTTCCAATGAACAGTTCTACTCTGCTGCTGAGGAGAAGGGCAATGAGAGTGGAACGGAGATGGAGAGCACCTCTCCACCAGACGACTCGGAGACAGAGGGCTCTGTTGGCACCGCAAGCGATACTTCCGACGACTCTTTGGAGGATATGATTTCCCTTTCAGCGCCGCAGCTCCCGCAACCGCCGTCTGGAATCGCATCCTCAATGACAGGCGCAACGCCTCGTGCAGGTTCCCGCCGTGGAGATGGTGCGCAGACACCGGGATCAGTTGCGTCTAACTTCACATCGACGACCATGCGTCCCGGCGGCCGTGGTGGCGGCGGCAAGGTCTTCAAGGCAGAGGGACTTCTACGCTCGATACCGCTTGAACTATTGCATCCCAGGCCTCGCGATGATGATGATGTGGACGCGTTCGTTTTCGTGGATATTAGTGCCCTCGCAAAGATTGGCTGTTTCTCTGGAGACTGGGTCAGAATCGAGGCTTCCGAGGAACCGCAAGCGAATATCTTCGCTTCCATCAAGCTTGGCAGCTTTAACGAGCAAGAAGAGGATTCTGGCGATTGGCGTGCTGTGAGGATATACGGTCTGCCAGGTCTTCCTTCCGCTAAACCGCGGTATTCGATCAACCAGTCGGAGCGCCGTGGGAGCTTCTCCCAGCGTCTGCCAGTTCGCCTGACCCCGTCGGTGTACCTTCCACCATTGCTCCTGAACAACCTCGACAATCCGAAACATCTCCGTATTTCTCGCATGAACTTCGCTTCCACCAATGGACCATCCAAGCCTGGCCTTCTGCATCAGGTGAAGAGCAGCTCAACAAAGACTCCGCCGTTGGCAAAGGAGGTGACGCTGCTTAAAGTATCTACTCCGCTATCCATGGACCGTGTTCTTCAGCCAGCCTTGTTTGCGGGACTCAAGCAGTACTTCGAATCTGCGCGACGGTTGCTAAAGAGCGGCGATCTTGTTGGCATCAGTGTCGATGAAGGTCTTGGTAAAACTGTCTTTGGAGGCACCGCTGCGACTGATGGTGCTGCCCAGGATGACGACTTGACTACTCGACTGGGTCAGGTGTCGGGGTCAAACAACCCAGGGAGAAAGGTTGGTGTTGCTTGGTTCCGCGTGGGCCATGTAACCGCCAGTTCGTCGGAAGATGATGAACCCGTTGAAGACCAATGGGGTGGTGTTGCCGTTATCGATACTGCAACTACAAGAATGGTGCAGGCAGGAAGCGACGTGAGCAGAGTCCCAGGAACGATGAACAACGGATGGGAGTATTGGCTTGGAGCCAAGGGCATACCCAAAGCCGTTGGTGAATCTCTGACACCTCATGGCCTCCTGACGGAGTCGCCGCAACTATGTATTCCTCCATTGCAGCAGCGGATCCGCGATCTCATGTCTGCCGCGACAAGCCCTCGAGCAATCCAGCTTGGCATGAAGCCTGTTGTCATCCTGCTCCAGTCGCAGCAGAGACACATTGGAAAAGCAACCGTCGCGAAGCGAGCTTGTTCAGATATCGGATTGCATACTTTCCCGATTGACGCATATGATATCCTGACTGAAGGCGGAGCCAACGGAGGGGATGTCAAGACGGAAGCCTACCTGAAAGCTCGCGCGGAGCGTGCCTTCAACTGCGGACCAAGTTGTACGGCACTCTTGATCCAACATATTGAGGTGTTGACGGCCGATCGGATGGTGACAGCGATGTCTGAGATTCTCGCGGATGCTCGGGTGGTCATTGCAACCACTACGGATGTCGAGCAGATCCCCGAAGGTATCCGCAGCATGTTCACACACGAGTTTGAAATGACCGCCCCGGAGGAGAAGGAACGTGAAGGCATCCTGCAGAATGCCGTTGCCGACCGTAGCATCAAACTGTCGCCCGATGCGGACTTGGCTACTGTTGCTATGAAGACTGCCGCGTTGGTCGCTGGTGATCTGGTGGACGTTGTCGAACGAGCATGCGCCGCGCGTGCTGCGCGATTGGAGAAATTGGCAGAGGCTGCCGGCACGAGTTCCTCCGGAGCCAAGATCAACGTTCGCGACGTCGTTATTTCCGGCGGTGATGCCGCGCGAGGCGTCACCAAGGCGGACTTTGAAACCGCCGTGGAAGCGGCAAGAAAGAACTTTGCCGATTCCATTGGAGCGCCCAAGATCCCCAACGTCAGTTGGGATGATGTGGGTGGCTTGGCTACTGTTAAGGATGCTCTCGTGGAAACCATCCAGCTGCCACTGGAGCGTCCTGAGCTGTTCGCCAAGGGCATGAAAAAGCGCAGCGGTATTTTGTTCTACGGTCCCCCTGGTACCGGTAAAACACTGCTGGCCAAGGCCATTGCGACCGAGTTCTCTCTGAACTTCTTCTCGGTCAAGGGTCCGGAGTTGCTGAACATGTACATTGGTGAGTCCGAAGCGAACGTTCGCCGTGTCTTCCAGCGCGCCCGCGACGCCCGTCCCTGTGTCGTCTTCTTCGACGAACTGGACTCCGTTGCCCCGAAGAGAGGCAACCAAGGCGACAGCGGCGGTGTCATGGACCGTATCGTCTCCCAGCTTCTCGCTGAACTGGACGGCATGAACGGCGGCGAGGAGAACAGTGGCGGCGTTTTCGTCGTTGGCGCAACCAACCGTCCTGATCTACTTGACACTGCCCTCCTCCGTCCCGGTCGTTTCGACAAGATGCTCTACCTGGGTATCTCAGACACACACGACAAACAGGCGAAGATTCTGGAGGCGCTTACGAGGAAATTCACTCTCGATCCGGAATTGTCGTTGCAGCGTGTTGCGGACCGGTTGCCATTGACGTACACCGGTGCTGATTTGTATGCGCTGTGCTCGGATTCTATGCTTAAGGCTGTTACGCGGAAGGCTCTAGCGGTGGATGAGAAGATCCGCTTGCTCCCGGAGGGACCTGTTAGCACGGCGTACTTCTTCGACCATCTGGCGACGCCGGATGATGTTTCTGTGATGGTTACGGAAGAAGACTTTACGGATGCGCAGAGCGAGCTTGTTCCTAGCGTTAGGTACGTTCCCTTTTGCTTTTCAAATAATATATATGATACTAACAAAAACAAAAAAAAAACAGCGCCAAAGAACTCGAACACTTCGAACGCATCCGCCAAAGCTTCGAATCCGTCGACAAAAAGAAACAAAACCAAAACCAAAACCAACAAGACCAACCCCAAGCACAAGCCCAACAAGCCCAACCCGCCCAAACCATCGGCGAAGCCCTCGAAGCCCTCCGCCTAAGCGGCGAACAACCAATTCTCGACGGAGCCGATGGACCGACCGTCAACGGCGATAGTCATCTTCCAATGAACATGGGCAAAGGCAAAACACGTCATGGACTGATGCGCAGTGCTAGCGGTCATTCTACGGCTAGTAGTAAGGGGAAGGGGAAGGGGAAAGGGAAGGCGAGGAATAAGGCGGGGTCTGAGGTTGATGGGGAGGTGTCGGATGAGGAGTCTACTGGGGAGAAAGAGGATGAGGATTATGTGGTGAGGACGGATCATTTGCAGTGATTTCTCGCTGTTGAGATTGGGGTCGGTAATGTATTATGGGTATAGTAGTCGAGCATTGTATAGATGCTGTATATAATATCTGCGGAGAATACCCCGTGATATAATAATCTGATTCATCATGTTTGTATAGACTTGAGTGACAGTAAACAACTTTGGTTGACACCTGACATCTCGATTAGGTTATTCCCCGAACCTCACCCAGTTAACAAGTTGACATATGACATCTCATGGGATATTGTACTGTCCTCAAGCATTAATATCACCGTAGCGATACTAGCACACCCTATTGCGCTTAGGCACTGTTCCTGCGCCGTATGCAGCCCTACAGTTAGTCGCGTGAAGTACACGCGATGTCATAATGACACCTCAGGCACTAAGGCTCTATTCTCCGAGCCTCGGTGACAGCTGACTCGCATTATCTCGACGGTCAGGTACGAGCACAGAAACAAAGATAGACCTACAGCGTCAATGCAGTATCTACCCCTTTTTATATCTCAGAAACTAATCCCGATACGAGTACTCTGTACAAACAAGATAACCAAATACTGTATCTCACCCGTCAACGCCCAGCCCAACCCAACCCAATCCTTCTTCCGAGCCGAACGCTTATCTCACCCTTTCGGACCCCCCCCGATCTCACTCCACCGTTTCCATGCCCAAATTCGGCGACCTCTGCTCTAACTGGCTTACAATGCCGAAGCCATGGCGAAACTAACCACTCACACCGTCGGAAAGCATCCGGCGAAATGTCTATCAAACCGCACTGGCAAAACCCCCGAAACCCAATCCAATCCCCGCGAAAACCGTGGAAATTACCCCATATCTGTTAGGTAACAGGCATATGTCTTGTTTATATTTCCCCGCATATCTGTGGAACCGGGTTGACGAACGGTCAGAGGATATGGGTAGGCGTCTTGCCTAGAATGGACACGGAGAGGCCTTGATAGTCTTGATAGACGTCAGTTTTTGTCGGGCGAGCCGGGGAGGGACGGAGGACCTAGGACTGGATAGGAAGGGAGGGAGGAATGCTAGACAAAAGAGTGGTTTCATCCTTCTTTTTTTTGGGTTCCGGTGTCTTTGTCTCTTTCTTTTTGTATTTTATTCGGTCTGATCTGTTTTCCTGGACTTGTCTTTTGTATCTTGTTTTTTTTTTTTTTTTTTTTTTTTTTTTTTTTTTTTTTTTTTTTTTATCTTTTGGTTTTTATTTCTTTCAGAGCAGAGCACAAGCACAATGGAAAAGGTTCGAGGTGATGATGCTCAATTGGCTGCTATGGGCCATAAGGCCGAATTGAAGCGTAATTTCTCGATGCTGTACGTTTCCCGTATAGGGGTTATGGTTTGCAGTGGTCGCTAACTATTCTAGGTCGATGCTGGGTTTGGCTTTTGCCATTCTGAATGTACGAGTATACTTACACGCATCGAGAGATTGGATGGTAGCTGATAATCGCAGTCATGGACAGCCTTATCAACGAGTTTATCACTGAGTTTGCCCTCCGGAGGGTGTGTCAGTGTTGTTTGGGGTGAGTTTATCTGTTTCGAATGGTTTCGGTGTGATGGCTAATGGTGTTATAATGGATAGGTCTTATTACAGCGGGTTTCTGTAATCTGTGTATAGCGACGTCGCTGGCTGAGTTTCTTTCGGCTTATCCTACGTTAGTCGATCGGGTTTTCTTCCATGTTCGTTTGCTGATATTTGAGTAGCGCTGGCGGTCAGTATCATTGGGTTGCAGGTGAGTCTTGATTTTCGAATATTGTGTAAGAGATAACATGCTAACAATAAACAGTTAGTAAGTATATACCTGTCGCCGACGTTTGAATTATGCCTAACGAAGATAGTCGCCTGGGAGAGATGGATGCCAATTCTTTCGTGGATCACTGGCTGGGCCAATGTTTCCGGATGGGTGAGCACACTACACTGCCTCCCTGCATTGCGGTGTATGCTGACTCTTCAGGTCGCCCTGACTGCTACCGGTGGGCTGCTGGGTAGTGAACTGGTCATTGGTGTTATTTCGTTGATGCATCCGGTGGGTTTCTCGTTGGAGAGATGGTGGGACGTCGCTGATTTTTCAGACATATGAATCCGAACGGTGGCATCAATTCTTGATTTACATTGCGTACAATGTTCTCGCTTTTATCATCAACGCGCTTATGAATAATGCGCTTCCGTTGTTCACCAAGAGTGCTTGTGAGTGGCCGGTACATGGTGAATGTCGTGAAAGGTGCTAATGGATACCAGTTATCTGGTCTCTTACTGGGTTTACCGTTATCTGCATCACAGTCCTGGCGTGTTCTTCGCCGGACTATAACTCGGGGAAGTTTGTGTTTGGAGAGTTCATCAACCAGACAGGATGTAGGTTCCCTGCACCTTGCACCGGTTTAAAGATAAAGCTGACGTTCTAGGGCCCGATGGTATTGCTTGGTTACTTGGAGTATGTTACTCACTCGTTCGTGAAGACAAATTCTAACTGTTGTAGCTTCTTCAAGGTGGACTCGGAGTCACTGGATATGTATGTCTCAACACCCCGTATAATTGGTATGCAGCTAACAAAAACTAGGATGGCGTCGCCCACATGATCGAAGGTATTACCACTACAACCGCAACGACAGAGAACCCTACTGACACGCGCAGAAATTCCCAACCCCTCCGTCGTCGGACCCAGGATTATGATCGGCTGCGTTGTGATCGGTATCGTGACCGGCTCGATCTTCTTGATTGTTCTCCTTTTCGTCGCTGGAGATATCGATACCATCATCAACTCTTCCGCGGGACCGTTGCTGGCGATTTTCAAACATGCGACGAATAACAATGCTGGCGCTGTTTGTTTGCTTATGTGAGTTGACTCGCTTTTATGGGGTTGTTGTGGATGTGGATGCTAATGTTGTAGTTTCCCTCTCGTGTGCATGCTTTTCACGACTACCAGTATCATGACCACGAGTAGTCGGATGGTCTACGCCTTCGCAAGGTAGCCCCACCACCAAACATTTCTTCTTTCGGTGTTCAATACTAACGAAAACAGAGACGGCGGCCTCCCCGCATCCCCATTCTTCGCCAGTGTCCACTCAAAGCTCAAAGTCCCTCTCAACGCACTATACTTCACCGTCGTCCTGGTCATCATCTTCGGATGCATCTTTCTCGGCTCGTCCAGCGCTTTCAACGCCATTATCTCTGCTTCCGTCGTCATGTTGGATATTGCGTATGGTATTCCTATCGCAGTGAACTGTCTGCGGGGACGCAATATGCTTCCGGAACGACAATTTGTTCTTCCTAATACTATTGGGTGGATTCTTAACATTGTACGTTTTTATCATCTTGTGTGATGTATGATGGGGGTTGCTAATTGGTCAGATCTCTATTGTTTATATCTCTCTTACGACCGTGCTGTTCCTGTTCCCGCCTGATCTTCCTGTTACGGGAAGTAACATGAGTGAGTGCCCCTATCCCATCTGTTATGACCGAACAGACGCTGAGAAGTACTATAGACTACTGTGTTGCTGCATTTGGAATCGTGTTTATCATCTCGAGCTTCCAATGGATCGTCGATGGAAGGAAGAACTTTGTCGGTCCGAGAATGGACGCGGATCCTCTCGAGGGAGAAGTAGCCGTCAACGTCGTCGCCCCTAGCACAAGCGACCACAAACAAGATAGCGAAAAGTAACTACGTCGGATATCAAGAATTGAATAAACGAATATCATTGAACCAAACTCCATAGAACAATACCTATCAAGACCCTTGAACCGAGATACCTCAAATCTCTCCCTTCTCAGCAGCCTCAGTTTGAGCCTCAGCTTCCTTAGCAGCAGCCTTCGCTTCCTCAACGTCAATAAAAACATGTCCCAACGGTCCAGCCCTCGGACTCCATCCACTACAATCAATTTTATACTTGCTATCAACCCCCGACACCTCAAACCGATTAACACTTTTCTTATTGCGATTGTCCCAGTGCAATTCACAGATCTTGTCCTCGCCATGAAACAAGTCCATCCAGCCTTCGCTGCCGCGGCGGCCGCGGGCGCAGACCTCGCCGATGCCGTAGGAGGGGATGGTGAGGGCGTCGATGTCGGTTTCGGTGAGGGGGAGGGATTTGTCGGTGGGGGAGTGGAAGGATCCCCTTGTTTGACTTTGTTAATATGGGTGATGATTGGGGAAGGTAAGGGGGATGGGGACGCACTCATATAGAAAGGAATCCTTGATCGAGATCTCGCCCTTCTCCAGACGATCCCTGATGTGAATCGAGACCCATTGCGAGGAATCCATCTTGCTTGCTTCTTGTATAGTATAAGTATATTCTCTTTTAAAATGTAGTTACTTGATACCACGTCCAGACCCCCGAAGAAGAGGAAAGGGACACTCTTTATAAACCTCCTCATCCGTACTTTCTGATGAGGTCATGAGACAGTGATTCCCTCGGGTATTCTCCCCCATGCGAACAAAGTGACCTCATTCGTAGTCAAAGTTCCCCATTGACGAATGGAGGTCTTTGTTTGGAGCTGGAGAGGAGAAGTGAACCATGGCTGCAGGTTAGTTTAGAATGCGGGGTGGCCTGATGCGGTAAGTGGATGTATGATTATCATGCTTTTGGTTACGTGTTGTGTAGGGGCTGTTAGTTAGGAGAGGAGGGGGAGAGAGGGGAGGGATGTTATTGTTCGTGTGACTGGTGGTGAGATGCGTTTGCTAGGATGTATGTACTTCTGATGGGTATAGGTACTTTGTTGTAGATGAGGAGATGTTTGGTTTGTTTGCAGGATGCGTCATATATGCCTGAGGCGTGTATCCCAACAATCTCCACGCCGAGGCCGCTCAACGGCTGAGATCTAGTGATGAGGCAGCAGACGTTGATTTCTATGGTATCTGGGATATAATTGCTTGACAGTAGTCTTTAATTGATTCTCCGGCTGTATTAACGCTTGCGTGTCACTTCAAAACAAGCCCACACCCATACAGAGAGAGTACCACACCACTAATACACACGATGCTCCAATTCTCCTTCTCCCTCCCTCGCATCTTCCCCCTCTGGGAACGATCCCAATTCAAAATCCCACCACCTAAAAGCCACGACCTCGAAAATGCACCTGAAAAGCCCGCCCGCGCGCTAAAGTACCTGATCAAACTGAACCACGCCAATCATGCCATTTTGTTCCATGAAAGGAAGTTTTATAATCATGTTCCTCACGTGAGTTTTCTTAATTACCCTAATATGGAATATGGGGAAAGTGGAAAGGGAAGGGAATGGGTGGATGGATGTGCTAACGTGACCTACAGTTACTGAGTTCGGCGTGGGTACAAGGTGCTGATGCGGATGAGTTGCATCGGTTGTATGAAGATGAAAGTAAGGCGATGGAGCCGTGGGTTGATTCGCCGGGGGAGATTAGTTTGGATGATTGGAGGGATTTTCTTGGGCGGAGGGAGTATGTTCTTGTCTCTGTTTTATATGTGGCTTTGCTGACGATGGATAGGTATCAACGGGCATTCGTGAACTACTTTGAAGACGAACTTGTCCGGCAAGGATATGACTGGAAAGAAGTCGTCAACGAATACCTCTTCTCCGGAGAAGAACCTCTATTCAACTCCCTCATCACAGACCGTATGTCCCGGTGTCACATCAAATAAAGAACACAGCTAACGACACAGTCGGCCATCCCCTAATCCACCTATCCTACGCCTACGAATTCTCTAGCCGCGAACTCGCCATGGAAGCCCTAGGCCTCGCAGCAACAACCCACAACCCAATCCACAAATACCTCTCCGACCCCATCTACACCAAAACAGAATCCTCCTACCACACACCCTCCCTCTTCGACATCCTGTCCCGCGTGCGCACCGACAAACGCTTCCACGGGCTCTTCGGCACACCCGGAAACGAGAACATCGAGCAAATCTTCTCCACTCGCGAAGATGCACTACTCGATCACTGGAATGCGTGGAGCATCGAGGGCGATACTGCCAAACAGTTCCGTGAGACACAGGAACTCGCTACAGCATTACTACTAGGCACACATGCGGACGGCTCGGAGGGGTATGATTTCTTCTTCCTCCACGTCCTGACTACTAGCCACGCTGTCCGCATCTTACTCCCTCTGATCCCGGCGAAGTTCCAGCTCCCGCTCGTCCGGCAGTGGTGGCTTATGACGCTATCCGTGTACATCGCCCAATTGCGTCCTGAGATCCATGTCAACAGAATTCAGGACGTCGAGTTGAAAGGGAGGGACTGGAAATGGGTTGCTGGGATGGCGGTTAAGGGGGAGAAGAAGGACGCGCATTATGTGAAGGTGTTGAGGGTGTTGAGGGAGGCGGCGGGGACTTGGGGGGATGACGAGGGGTATTATCTTAGGGCGGCGGCTAGGTTTGCGGAGGAGTTTGTTGGGTGGGGTGGGTTTGTTTAGTTGTTAGATTGTATGGTATGTTTAGATGGTTAGAGGCGTATGGTTTTCTTTGATATGACTGTCATGTTGGAGTATTTGAGAACCAATTGGTCCCTAATATGGGAGATGGCTCTTGTAAGATAGAACCCACGAGGCCATTCACTAGAAAGATATTCACTGTAGACAAGTATTATCACCGTGTTTCTCGCTTGTGATTATAGAAGTCCTATTCCAACGCAGTTTCCAAACTCTTCCCCATCATTTTACGATTCCGTTTCCAGGGCTATTAGAAACGATTGGGATTATATGGGACCTATTACCCTATGTCCTAATGATAATGCGAACTCGGAGCTGGTCATCTTACATACAAATCTCGACTTTAACTTTTGATCGGATGGGAACTCATAGCTTGGTGGAAAGCACCTTTTTACGACCGAGAATTCCCAGACAGCGTCGCCTACATGGGCTGGCACGAAACCATATCCAAGAGATGTTGAGGTGATACGAATGGCATGGCTAGAGTTCGGGTTTTCTGGACTTTTACAGGAACTGGAACCATGTATTATTCCCTCACGCGAGGCCTTCGCTGACCCAGGTAAATCACATTGAATCATTTCCTCGCTGTTTGGGCTGACTGACTGACTAAGTAGATGTCGGAATCCCCAAAAGGCTTGAATAGACTAGCATAACCTAGAAGACTTGTCTATTTAATCCAGTCAGCGGCTTACAGCTGCATATTGTTACAAGTTCCAAGCTTTGACCATTGGCAGACAGTTCAGTACCTACCCCCCCTTCTTATATTGCTTCATAGCTGATCTGATCTAATTGTATATTGATAGTTTTATCCCGAAAAAGCGAGTGCGATGTCAAGGAAGGGCGTGTGCATGCCCGCGTGTATTAAAAAAAACATTGTAAAGAAGAGAGAAAATCTTGGCAGGCAGAAATAGCATCATTAACGGACGCTATACCTGGCTGATGGCTAACCTTCATGCTTGCTGTCTGTCTTGGTGCTGCAGAAGCAAGCGACATCTCCAGTGTGGTAGTTACGGAGGGGAGCTTAAATATCCCTACTGTTGCGAGTCATGGATTTCTCGGTACAGAAAGGCTTTTTATCCAGATTATGCTGGAAAGATCGGATCGGGGATGTTATGGAGCGCTATCCGGAGTTTGACATGGCAGTTCGTACGTACCAATCTGGATACATTGGTTCATTGATGCGGTGCTCCAAAGCGACTTAAAATCCCCGCAATATGCAATGGGGGTCATCATTCTCCATTGACAAGATGAGAACAAACTCAATTGCACACACACAATAAAACGCAAAGGGACTAATAAAAGCATTGAGCCCGTGATGAAAATGTGGGGTGCCCCGTTCGTCGAGGCCAGGACTGGGAGCGTCGCTGGTTTCTTTCACTTGGCAAACGGTAACTACGCCGAGTGCGCGGCGATGGATGATCTTATCGCAGAGGGGTACGAGGTTGTCTAATTCACACGCTCCCTGGTCGGGGACATGCGGGCGACCAACGCATCCTACGGTCGCTACCTGGCGTTTTTGTCCGGTTCTTGTTAGATCCACCGTCCTGGTCCGCCTGTCGACTTGTCCCGACACAAGAAGAAACGCAGACACAGATTTTCTATAACGGGGCTCCATGAATAGAAAGTCTGCCACATATTTCCCAGTGCCCTTCTGACGGAGAATTGCACTGAGGTCCTGCAGACTTCTACTACGAAATAGATGGCATCAATTCCATTCCTGTGACATCCTCTGTTGCTGCCCTTTCTTTCACCTTACGGCCATCCATCTACACTGCGGTTTCAGGACCGCAATAAGAACAACTGCTCGCAATGGGTCTCGGGACTGTTTTATACAAGGCATCTTTGGTCGAAGCCCCTTTCTCGTCCGACTTGCCACCCCTCCCCCATTGCACCCGCCTGATTGCTGAAGGCTATCGAATAGCAAGTTTTCTGGGTCTCAGTGCGAACTGGATACCAACAAAATATGCACAGACTGGAGCACCGGTACAATACTAAATTTTGTACAATCAAGTCTCGAGGCTGGCATAGTTTGTAGCAAGCCATAGAAACGATCCTGTTGTTTAGCAGACCTCCCCTAGCAAGCCAGGTACGAGGAATCTGCCAGCTGGATAACGCACCAATCGCCGGTCCAATCCTTCCGTTCGATTTGTCGATTTGGCCGACATCTCACAGGGCGATAGTTCCCAATGTATTCGAACAGTCTTGCACACGGCAGCAGTTGCTTTGATTGTCTGGCTGTATAGATCGTTCTATAGCTCCCTCTGATTATGCTATATATATTGATCCTCAGGGACTAAATGGCAAATCGGTGTAGATTTAGTGTTCTTGTCTGCTGGAAGCAGATATTAGTTAGAGAGTTCTGGATCAAGACAATCGTTTACATCAACTTTTGCCCTTGCTACTCGATGCATTTCTTCTTTGCTCATCTGTACAGAGTGTGAGACTGACTAGCCGCCGTAACCTCCCAGTGAGAAGTGAGAAAGGCGCCGCCTAGCGGAATCAGAGCCAGTAAACCTCGCACGTTCCTGTTCCTGATCCAAGTTTTGGTTCTACAAGTACCCTCCCCCCGGTGACCGCCACAAAGCCGTATTCGCGACGAAACCTTGGGAATAACATAAGCACCGGCATACGAAGAAGGGCAAAAAGACCCGGAAGTACAAGAATCACTGCGCTATGAGAATATCGGTGGTTACTCGGTGTTTGAGTTATTGATAGCTTCGTTTTAGCAAAGTTTTGAAGGAATGAGCATGCCGTTTTGGTATTCTAGAACGTGACTCCGCTGTCTTCCGCATGAGGAATATTCCGATTCCGAGTTGCGATGTTGTTTTGCTACTCCGGAGTATGAAGTTACGCGAGACTATGTTCCGCTGAGATTTTCGGATCTACTTCGGGGATATTCCAGCAGTAGAAGTAAGCTCGTTTAGGCTGTGTTCTGATTGGTTGTTGGTTCGTTGTTCTGGTTATTTACTTGATGGTCAATAGAGCCGGTTGTTCCCTCGGACTGAACCACGGTTCTATTGGCTTACCATTACGATCAAGCATTTATCCCCCATACGAATACGAGTGCCAACAATGAAGATGACAAGTTTCCAGTTGTAGTAAGTTGAACTAAGCCCTCCGTGGCATGACATTTGCGTATACATCCCGGCCCTGGTGAGATTGTCTGCCAGCAGTGAATGCAACCAACAGTGCTGATCTGATGGCGGGGTGATAAATCGCTCAAGCCAAGGCATAATAATGATACATACATAGTCCATCTGGACAGCTGTCAGTTGTGTTCTTGGTTGTGTGAAGGTAAAGGTGGCTGTGATAACACTGCCACGCGTAACAATACCGCCCGTTACGTCCCCAGGGTCCCCGGTTGAGGCTCTGCCAGGATTTGGCGTCGGTTATTTTAAGAAGACCAATCATGTACGCGGGCAATGGTCACGTAAATACAGCTCTAGGCCGTCCTCCGGTAACATACAGGAACCGTCCGTAGCCAATAAAAATTACAAATATAATACCACTATACTACAAGTGGCTTAGCGTCTTGGCGGATCAGGCAGACATCCAAGAGGCCTCAGCCTAGAGAGAAGGATCCGCGCTCCGGACGAACAGCCTCCTTCCTCTCGTCTGTCTCACTCACTCTCTCTCTCTCTCTCTCTCTCTCCCTCCTATCTTCAACTTCATCTACCACACCCACCACATTATCATCAACCATCTACACTTTTGCTTTCTTTATTTCTTTCGGCTTCGATATTAGCGTGTTTATCTCCAGTTTGGGGGGATTTTTGGGCGCCATTTTCTGGGGATCTGAAGCATTGTCAAGGGGCTCTTCAGCATCTCCACTTATCATCAACTACCTGATAACGACTGGTGTCAGTTCTTGATCGCCCAACTTTTCCTCTCTCGAACCTGTTTCTCGCTCTTTTTCTTTTCTCGCTTCATCGTTATCATCACCAGAGCATTACTTCGTCGGCTGTTATATATATTAGCGTCTGCATCCTTCCCAGCATCACGACGTTATCGACCAGTCGACTAAATTCATCGCGACCAGTTCTCGACAACTGTGAGTACCACTGCGGTTATATTCCTTTCTCTTCCTCTTCGTGCTTCTGCGACTGTTCGGTTATATTTATCGCTCTGGACTTGTGCTAACGATCCAGAACAGTCAGAACTGTGACTCGCTTGTACGTCATTCATTCGGACGACCAATCTACATCTACCAGGTGAGTCACTATCGGGAACTCAATCGAGCCTCCGATCCCCTGGGACTGACAGGCCCCATGAAGTTTACCGCGTCTTTTTCGTTCGTCTCTTCGTTTTCGTTTGCTCCCGCCATGACCTCGCAGCCTGAGCCGTCCCGGGTTCACCCCCGACGCCGTCAAATGACTACCGCTCCTCCCTCGCTCGCATCCTCTTCGCGTATGGTCCAGGATGGATCCTCTCGACCCAGCTTGTCTCTGAGAAAGGGCCAAACCTTCCATTCCCCCACCACTCCACCATCTGGGGATCGTGATCCGGTCGTGTCTTTTCGCACTCTGCCTACTCGCTCTCCTACATGTCCCAAGTCTTTGGAAGCCATCGTCGCTGGAGAGGAACGCATGTCTGATATCTTGAACCGTATTGACCTCAATTCGACCAGCAGTTCCAACGCCATGCCTCGACCACACGACGACATGCCCGTTCCACGAAGTTTCCTCCAGCGACAAACTCAATCCAATGCCCTCGTGAGAAAGGCCGAGAAACAGCCCATGATGGACGATCCACAACGCTTCTCTCCGGCTAAGGTCTGTCATGATCACGCTTCCGATAGCGGATTGGGTAGTTCCATTAGCAGCAGCCAAGGCATGATGTCTGAGAAGGGTAAAGGTATACCTAACATTTCAACTCTTTACATTTGGCAATACTAACTGTCAATAGTGGCAGCAGGACAGTTGTCGGTCCAGGGCATTGAATCGAGCGCCCTGACCACCACTCAGTCCGCAATTACCAGCTCAATCTCTGCATTGCAATCCAATACATCGGGGAAACGCTCGCTGTCTGCCCTTGCTTGCAAGCAGATGGAAGCTTTGGTTATGATTCCCATTCTCAAGGAGGAGCGCTTGAAGCCGTTCCATCCCCTCGTGGAAAGCATTCCTCAGCTGGTTGAGAATAAAGAAATTGCCTGTCTGCGTGATATTGAAAAGACCCTTTTGTGGTTGGCACCAGTAAGTGATCTTCCGTTGAGCTCTTTTA